TCAAATGATCTGCCCACATTGGCCTCCCAAAGTGCTGGGATTACAGGTGTGAGCCACTGTGCCCATTTCATTGGAGTATTTTAGCATTTTTAAATAGATTATTGTAAAACTAAGGAAAATTACGTAACTTCTTTCTCTGTAGCTTTTCCATGGAAGGCAAATCTGGCCTTATGAGAACAGGGAAAAAAGCTGGACGTAGTAGCTCATACCTGTAATCTCAGCATTTTGGGAGGTTGAGGCAAGCAGATCACTTGAGCCCAGGAGTTCAAGACCAGCCTGGGCAACATAGGAAGGCTTATCTCTACAGAAAAAAAGAAAAAAAATCTGGGTGTGCTGGTGTATACTTGTAGTCCTATCTACTCATGAGGCTGCTGAGGCAGGAAGATCACTTGAACTGGGAGGTCAAGGGTGCAGTGAGCCATAATCCTGCCACTATACTCCAGCCTGGGCTACAAAGTGAGATCCTGTCTCAAAACAAAGTGAGAGGCCGGGCGCGGTGGCTCAAGCCTGTAATCCCAGCACATTGGGAGGCCAAGGCGGGTGGATCACGAGGTCAAGAGATCGAGACCATCCTGGTCAACATGGTGAAACCCTGTCTCTACTAAAAATACAAAAAAATTAGCTGGGCATGGTGGCGCGTGCCTGTAATCCCAGCTACTCAGGAGGCTGAGGCAGGAGAATTGCCTGAACCCAGGAGGCGGAGGTTGCGGTGAGCCGAGATGGCGCCATTGCACTCCAGCCTGGGTAACAAGAGCGAAACTCCGTCTCAAAAAAAAAAAAAAAAAAAAAAACAAAAAAAACAAAGTGAGAAAGAAAAAAAGAAAAGGGAAATAAAGGAATCCTTGATACTTTCCTCTTCAAGTCCAGCATTTGGTTCTTTAATACACATCTCATGTGAAATAGAAAAGATATTTTGAAAAAACAGCCATGGAGTAAAGTTTTTCTTGCTGTTATAAAGTGTGTCCCTTGGACTGAAAATGAGAAAGCTGAGATTTTTTTTTTTTTTTTTATGAGCAGCAAATCGAAAGCATTAGAAGTTTTATTTTTTTTTTTCTTCCTATAATTTTTTCTTTTTTTTGAGATGGAGTCTCACTGTGTTGCCCAGGCTGGAGTGCAGTGGCACAGTCTCAGCTCACTGCAGCCTCCACCTCCCAGGTTCAAGTGATCCTCCTGTGTCAGCCTCCCAAGTACCTGCGACTACAGGCACCTGCCACCATGCCCTGCTAATCTGTGTATTTTTAGTAGAGACAGGCTTTTGCCATGTTGGCCAGGCTGATCTTGAACTCCTGACCTTAGGTGTTCCATCTGCCTCAGCCTCCCAAAGTGCTGGGATTATAGGCGTGAGGTACCATGCCTGACCTCTTCCTAGAAATTCTCGAGTTCTCTCATTTTAGGTTTAGCTGCATGATTATTAGTCTTCATAGTGAATCAAAACAGGGATGCCATTAATTTGAACAGTTAGGCCATTTAAACTTTTCAATCTAAATCACTAATTTTTTTTTGGAAGTAGGCAAAATTACGTGTTTGCTCAGAAATGATTGCATTCACCTCTTCCCACACACACAATAGAAGACCCTCATCCAGCCCTCAGGCAGGCTGGGGAACTGAGCGGGAGTTTACAGCTGGGTGTTTGCCCGTTCATTATGTTCTGTACTTTGTAATAGTTGTTCATTCATACTGCGCATTAAGTAGAGGAACAGCTAAGATTTATTAACACCTCATTGTTGGCACATAGAATACCCCCTTGCATTCCAGCTTGGCTCGTTTGGATATTTCTTTGGAAGATCCTAATTTTCTTTTGAGACGAGAAAAAGTCACCCACTTAGAACTCTTGAGATTTTTTAGAAGGTAATGAAACTCCAGACAGTCATTTCCGTTTCCATTCAGGCTTATTCACAAAATTATTAACCAAACCAAGCAAAACCTTTGGAAAGTCTCTTATCTTGCTCTAAAACCATGTAAAACCAGTTTTAAAACATTTTGAATATTTTAGAGTTTCATAAGAGATTTTGGGGCCTATACTTTTTTAACTCTCTAAAAGTTTTGAAACAGAGAAGCCAGTTTGAGAGTACCTGTGTGGGTCAGCCCCTTCTACAGAAAAGTTTATGATTATTAAAGGCCATTATGAAAACTGGTTTCTTTTGTAAGAAGGAGGAAAGTAGTTCTTACATTTGTGGCTTGTTGGCTGTCTTCACTTTGGGGAAATTTTCAATCATTATTTTCTCTTCAAATATTACTTCTGTTCCATTTCTTCTCTTTCCTTTCCTCTGGAACAATAATTATACATCTGTTAGACTTTTTTACGGTGTTCCATATAGTCTGATAAAATTTTTCTTTTCTTTTTTTGAGACTGAGTCTTGCTCTGTTGCCCAGATTGGAGTGCAGTGGCATGATCTCAGCTTGCTGCAACCTCTGTTTCCCAGGTTCAAGCAATTATCCTGCCTCAGTTTCCCCAAGTAGTTAGGAGTATAGGTTTGTACCACCACGCCCAGCTAGTTTTTGTATTTTTAGTAGAGATGGGGTTTCACCATGTTGGTCAGGCTGGTCTCGAACTCCTGACCTTGTGATCCTCCCACCTCAGCCTCCCAAAGTGCTTGGATTACAGATGTGAGCCACCGCACTCAGCCAATTTTAATTTTTTTTGTTAAAAATTTTTTTTGAGACAGGGTCATGCTCTGTTGCCCATGCTGGAGTGTAGTGGTATGATCATAGCTCACTGTAACCTTGAACTCCTGGGTTCAATTGATCCTCCCACTTCAGCGTCCCAATTAGCTAGGTGCAGAGATAGGGTCTTGCTTTGTTGCCCAGGCTGGTCTTGAACTCCTGGCCTCAAGTGATCCTCCTACCTTAGCCTCCCAAAGCACTGAGATTATAGATATGAGCCACTGCACCAGCCTTGAAAACCTATGAAATGTAACATACGCAGAGTTGCAAACATATAACTGCCGCCACGGTCGGGGTGTTAAAACAGTTCGATGACACTAAAGAGCTACTTTGTGTTATTCCTTTGCAGTCATACTCTCTCCTACCCCTAACTTCTGGCAACCGCTGGTCTGTTCCCCACCACTATAATTTTGTCTTTTTGAGAATGCCTTTTTTTTTTTTTTTTTTTAAGGTGGAGTCTCACTTTGTTGTCCAGTCTAAAGTGCAATGATATGATCTTGGCTCACTGCAACCTCCGCTTCCCAGGTTCAAGTAATTCTCTTGCCTCAGCCTCCTCCCAAGTAGCTGGGATTACAGGCACCCACCACCATGCCTAGCTAATTTATTTTTGTATTTTTAGCAGAAATAGAGTTTCACCATGTTTGCCAGTCTCGAACTTCTGACCTCAAGTGGTTTGCCTGCCTCGGCCTCCCAAAGTGTTGGGTTTACAGGTGTGAGCCATTGCACCCAGCCTGAGAGTGCCATTTAAATGGAATCATGTAGTATATAACCTTTTTCTTTCTTTTTTTTTTTTTTTTTTTTTTTTTTTTTGTGACAGAGTCTTGCTCTGTTGCCTAGGCTGGAGTACAGTGGTGCCATCTCAGCTCACTACAACCTCTGCCTCCTGGGTTCAAGCGATTCTCTTGCCCCAGCCTCTTTAGTAGCTGGGACTACAGGTGTGTGGCACCACACCAAGTTAATTTTTGTATTTTTGGTAGAGATGGGGTTTTGCCATGTTGGTCAGGCTGGTCTCAAACCCCTGACGTCAAATGATCTGCCTGCATTGGCCTCCCAAAATACTGGGATTGCAGGTGTGAACCACTGTGCCCGGCCTAGTATATAACCTTTTAAGGTTGTCTTTTTTTCACTCAACAAAATGCCTTAAGAGTCATCCAAGTTGTTTTAAAAATTAATAATGCATGACTTTTTAGTACTGAGTATTTCATTTATGGATATGCCACTATTAATTTTCTGTTGACCCATTGAAGGACATTTGGATGATTTTTGGTTTTTGATGATTGCGAATAGAGCTGCTGTAAACATTCATGTCTAGGGTTTTGTGTGAACAGACATCTTCTATTTTCTAGGGCAGTTATGTAGGAGTGCTGGGTTATATGGTATGTGTACTTTTAACTTTATAGGAAATTGCCAAAGTAGCTGAGATTAGTGGCTCACACCTGTAATCCCAGCACTTTGGGAGGCCGGGGTGGGAGGACTGCCTGAGCCTAGGAGTTCGAGACCAACCTGGGCAACATGGCAAGATTCCACCTCTATTAAAATAAAAGGAAAAAGAAATGACCATAGTTATTTCTTTCATCTGTGATTGCTGTCATCTGTTTTTGAAAATGATTCCCTAATACTTAAACAGTTCCGAGTTTCACTCTTGGTTTTCCTGCCTTTGTGACAGATGCTGGAGCTCTAAGCATATGTGCCTCTCCCGTTAGAAGGTAGTGTGTCCGGCTCACTTTGTGTGTGCTACAGTTTCAAGAACTGCACCTCAGATGTTGGAGGATGACAGCGGGTGTGGACTTGAATGGATTGGCTCCTAGGTTCTCACACAGCTGCCTTTTTCTTTGTGACGCTGAGCATATCACATTGTTTCCTTATATAGCCTCTACATTTGAAAAAGAGATGAATAACGTGCATTATATGGTTGTTACAAAGATTAAATGGGAGAAAAAAAGTTCTAAACATATGTCTGAAATGTAATGAGTAGTCAGGACACTTCAGCTATTGTTCTTAAATCACCTGCATGATGTAAACATGATACAGGATCAAACACATCATTTTTAATTTTCAGCGCTAAAGATCGTTTCATAATCAGGCCTATTGACAGTAAGCTGCCCCGACTGGTGGTGCTCATAAAGTCCAGAAATTCTCCTGTAGTGTTTTAGAAATGGAAAGGGAGGTTTCTTTATGTCTGTCACAGTGGCGTGGTTATAGGGGCTGAACTAAAAATACGCTGTTGAAGTGTTTCTTTAGAGGACTAGAAACAATGAGTTCGAAGGCTACGCTTACTTCAGTAAAATTGTTTAATGGCATTTATTTCACTAATGATCTTGCTTGCTCTCTTCTAGTTCTGGGATTACCGCCAGCCTCGGAAATACCTCAATATTCTCCCTTGCCAGGTGCCTGTCTGGAAGGCCAGATACACAGTGAGTTAGCCACCCTGCCTCTTGATAGGAAACTTTCTCTTGGGTGTTCCAAAAACAAGGAGCCCAGGGAAATTTTCTCTTATTTTCTTTGTGAGGCAATTTTCTCTTTCTGTCTTGGTTTAGTGGTGGGACAAATGTGATAATGATGGCATAAATGCTATTAACTATTTAAAATTTTTTTCTCGGCTGGGTGCAGTGGCTCAAGCCTGTAATCCCAGCACTTTGGATGGCCAAGGTGCATGGATTGCCTGAGGTCAGGAGTTCAGGACCAGCCTGGCCAACATGGTGAAACCCTGTCTCTACTAAAAACACAAAAATTAGCCAGGCATGGTGGTGGGCACCTGTAGTCCCAGCTACTCAGGAGGCTGAGGCACGAGAATTGCTTGAACCCGGGAGGTAGAGGCTGCAGTGAGCAGAGATTGCGCCACTGCACTCCACCTTGGGCGACAGAGCGAGACTCCGTCTCAAAAATAAATAAAATAAAATAATTATTGAATTGTTAAGTATCTACATCAGAATTGCTTATCAAAGATCCACAGAAAAGCTTGGCCATGTAAAGATACTCACTAATGATAGGGCAGGAAGTAGGGTAGATGAGGAGAGGGTCAAGAGGCTTGAAGTCAGTGAATTATGGTAAAAGGAACCCTGACTTTAGATTCAGAAGACCTGGGCTGGGAGCCATGTTCTGTCATTGATACAACCATTTGATGTTTTTGAGCAGAAATTTCCTTTTCTGTAGATGCGAATGGTAATTTTTACTATACCCTCCTTTTTTATTAAATTGTGACAAAATCCACCATTTTCAAGTATACAGTTCTGTGGTTCACAAGCTGACTTTCTTTTGAAATAACTTATATGGTTTTTAAACCATTAAATGCTGCAAATAGAGTGAGTAGACTGTTATTAACTTTCCAGTAATTTTCCACTGCCACATGGGTGAGAGATAATGTATTTCCTTTAATGTCAATTTGAAAGCAAGCACAGGGATGCATAAAGCTACCTTTATACATTCAGCTGTCACTATCGAGCATTGTGGAGCTAAAAAGATAATTTGGGTATTAAGTTGGTTTTGTATCTGGGATCACTTGCCAAGAAATCAGACACTCTTCTTATGAATTGAATTACTTTTCTGGATTAATATGTTTGCTTTAAAAAATAAACAGAAGTGTTACCAGGAGGGATGGTGAAGATAAATGTGCCCTTAGGTGATGGTGGTTTATTCCTTAAATAACAGAACTATCAACCAAGTGGGCCCCTTAGCTTCCTAGCAGTTGGGGTTTTGCTAAGTAAAACATGTCAGTCCCGTAGTGACCAAGTTTTCCTTTGAGCAGTTGCAGTACTGGGGAAGTAGGAAGGTGATACTTCATGTGGTTGGCATGTTTCTAGTGTGTTTCCACGTGGCAAGAATTAGGTTTAACACTCCAGGGATTTCCCAGTCAGCCCTGCATGCTTGTTCTGGGAAATCACTTAGTAACTCTTCAGTGGGAACTCATGTAGAGTAGCTGGGATGTGAAACAGTGTGTTTCAGTGCATAGCAATTCGAACCATTTGCTTATTTTAGAATTTTTTTTTTTTTTTTTGAGACGGAGTTTCGCTCTTGTTACACAGGCTGGAGTGCAATGGCACGATCTCGGCTCACCGCAACCTCCGCCTCCTGGGCTCAGGCAATTCTCCTGCCTCAGCCTCCTGAGTAGCTGGGATTACAGGCACACGCCACCATGCCCAGCTAATATTTTTTGTATTTTTAGTAGAGACGGAGTTTCATCATGTTGACCAGGATGGTCTCGATCTCTTGACCTCGTGATCCACCCGCCTCGGCCTCCCAAAGTGCTGGGATTACAGGCTTGAACCACCGCACCCGGCCCAGAATTTTTTTTTTGAGACGGCGTTTCACTCTTGTTACCCAGGCTGGAGTGCAATGGCGCGATCTTGGCTCACCGCAACCTCTGCCTCCTGGGATCAAGCAATTCTCCTGCCTCAGCCTCCCGAGTAGCTGGGACTATAGGCGTGTGCCACCATGCCCAGCTAATTTTTGTATTTTTAGTAGAGATGGGATTTCACCATGTTGACCAGGATGGTCTCGATCTCTTGACCTCGTGATCCACCCGCCTCGGCCTCACAAAGTGCTGGGATTATAGGCATGAGCCACCGTCCCCGGCCTTTTTTTTTTTTTTGACAGAGTCTTACTCTGTCACCTGGGCTGGAGTACAGTGGTAGGATCTTTGCTTATTGTAACCTCCGCCCTCACCAGGTTCAAGCAATTCTCCTGCCTCAGCCTCCCTAGAAGCTGGGATTACAGGTGCCCGCCACTATGTGCAGCTAATTTTTTGTATTTTTAGTAGAGGTGGGGTTTCACCATGTTGGCCAGGCTGGTCTTGAACTCCTGACCTTGTGATTTGCCTGCCTCAGCCTCCCAAAGTGCTGGGATTACAGGTGTAAGCCACCACGCCCAGCCTTATTTTAGAATTTTCAAAGTTCTTCAAGCACTTGCCTCAGCTTGAGTTTTTACCTGCTGTGGTCCCTTCCATAAGCAAAGAGAAAAGTAGATGCAATGTTCAGCTTACGGTGTTTGGCAAAAATTTCTCCAGATGAGTTGGGGCCTTCCATTATCTCATTTATTTTACTTAGGAAGAATTCCAGGTTTCGAAGCTCAAGACTCAGCTGGTTTTCCCTGAAATAATCTAATCACCTGCTTTTCCCTTCTCTGCCGTAGCCTTTCAGCAATGGATTGGTGACTGTGATGGTTCCCCAGCTGCGGAGGGAAAACAGCCTTCTCCTGTGGAATGTCTTTGACTTGAATACCCCAGTCCACACCTTCGTGGGGCATGACGATGTGGTGCTGGAGTTCCAGTGGAGGAAGCAGAAGGAAGGTGAGTGCGAGAGGCCTGATGCCAGCTTTCCTTCTGAGCTCTGGTCACAGCAGTGCCAGTCAGTGTTGCCACGGAGTCCAGTAAGGAAGACACAGACAGAGCTGGGCTTCAGGAACCAGCCAGCCAGGGCTGTTGCTGCCTTTCATCATAGGTGGGTAAAGGGACGATATAAGGCTACTTTTCTCTTCCAAATGCTGTCCTCTTCTCTGATTTTCAGTGTAGTCTCTTACCTGGAGGAGATCTGATCCAGTAAGAGATGGAAAATGGAGTTCAGGGCACTTGGCCCTTGCCACGCTGTTGATGAGGGAGACCCAAGGTGGTCATTGGTACTGCCTGCTACATACTCTCCATTGTTTTCACAAGCATGTAGTGCTATTTTACCTCCCAGTTCTTTGAAGACAAATTTGGCTGATAGGCTTGCTTTGGTCATGACCTATGAGCAGAAGTGATGCGATCTTTCCTGGGTTGAAAGGTGAGGGGCTGATGGGTAGTTAAACGCCCTCTTTGCCTCTACCACATCAATTGACAAAGCTCCAGGTGGAGCTGCTTCCAGCACATCTGGCACGAGGATGAGGTAGAGATGAAGAGCAAGCAAGAAATGTAGCCACTGAGGGGCTAGGGCCTTGTTACTGCAGCTTCATGATCTGGCCCTCATTCATGCAGGGTCCTAGTGTAATGGTAATCAAGAAGCCACAGCCGGTTTCTCTATCAACTCACCGTACAAGTTTAGATGCAGCCTGTCTTTTCTTACGATGTTATTGCTAAGTGTTTGGCAGGACACAAGTTTGTTTGTTTGTGTTTCCATATTGCACACAGGAAGCCAGTCAGGTCGAGCAATATGACTTGTCCAGGGCCCCCGGAAAGGTCTCTGGTGGACCTGGGATTAGCGCATCAACTTCCGTCCCAGCTAGTTTGTGACTCTCACAAACTTTTTCCAGGATATTTATTCCAGAGACTCTTTTGATCATCCTGTTGACTTTTCCATCTACATTTCCGAAAACTCTCTTGCATCCGGAAACATAAGGCTGCCTGGTGTTTATCCCACCAATTTCATGCATGGGTTGTGGCTTTGAACTTAAGCGCTTGCATTTTGCCATGGAAAACAGATGATGTGATTTCCTCACAGTCCAGCGGGCAGGGTTTGACCTGTAGTTTTGAATGGAAATAAAGTTTTTAGGAACCCATTTTTAGTTATCCATATTGTCTTTAAGCTGATGGGTTGAGTTGTGTAAGTTGGAACTGCTCGGCCAGAAGCAAAAGTTTGACTACAAGTTACTATTTAACTTTTTTTTTTTTAAACTGTGAAAGAGGGAATGGTAGACACAGGGCCTTCTTGAGGGTGGAGGGTGGGCTGGGGAGAGGATCAGAAAAAATAACTGTTGGGTACCGGGCTTAGTACCTGGGTGATGAAATAATCTGTACAACAAACCCCTGTGACATGAGTTTCCCTATGTAACAAACCTGCACGTGTACCCCTGAACCTAAAATACACGTTTAAATTAAAAAAAAATTTTTTTTACTGTGAAATATATCATGTATTTGAAAATTACTTAGAACATATACAGTTTAACAAATAATTGTAAAGTGGAAATCTGTGTAATTACCATGCTGGGCAAGAAATAAAACAATGCCAGGACCCCTGAAGCTTCCTGATCACAATCCCCTCCCTTCCCCCAGAGCATTATGCCCCTGATGCTTATGATAGCAATTGCTGGATTCTTCCTTTGTGGTTTCACTGCCTATTTATGAATCCCTAAACATAGTTTTTAGGCTTGCCTGTTTCTGAACCTTTTGCAAATTTAGTTGTTTTTTCTTTTTGAGATGGAGTCTCACACTGTCACCCAGGCTGGTGTGCGGTGACGCAGTCCTGGCTCACTGCAACCTCCACCTCCCAGGTCCAAGTTCAAGCAATTCTACCTCAGCCTCCTGAGTAGTTGGGACTACAGGTGTGTGGCACCATGCCCAGCTAATTTTTTGTATTTTTAGTAGAGATGGGGTTTCACTGTGTTAGCTAGGATGGTCTTGATCTCCTGACCTTGTGATCCACCTGCCTTGGCCTCCCAAAGTGCTGGGATTATGGGCGTGAGCCACTGTGCCCTGCCTACAAATTTAATTATTATGCATGTGTTTTTGTTCAGATATTCCTTTACTTAAAATGGGGTTATGTCCCAATAAACCCCTTGTAAATTGAAAATATCATAAGTAGAAAATGTATTTTAAACTGTGCGTGGTGGTTTACCCTATAATCTTAGTACTTTGGAAGGCTGAGGCGGGTGGATGACCTGAGGCCAGGAGTTGAAGACCACCTTGGCCAACATGGCAAAACCCCATCTCTACTAAAAATATAAAAATTAGCTGGTTATAGTGGTGGATGCCTGTAGTCCCAGCTACTTGGGAGGCTGAGGCAGGAGAATCTCTTGAACTAAGAGGTTTCAGTGAGCTGAGGTTGTGCCACTGCACTTCAGCTTAGGAAACAGATCGAGACTCTGTCTCAAAAGAAAAAAAGAAAAAGAAAATGTATTTTACCCACTTAGCTCACTGAACATCATAGCTTAAGTAGCCTACCTTAAACACGCTCAGAACACTTACATTGGCCTACATTTGGGCTAAATCCTCTAATACAAAGCTTGTTTTATAAACAAGCATTGAATATCTCATATAATTTGTTGAATACTGTATATTATGTTAAAACTGTGACAGTTTCGCACCGTCCTAAAGTCAAACCATTATAAGTTGAACCACTGTAAGTTGGGAACCATCTTCATCGTACTTCTTTCTCAACCGAACATTGTTCCAGTTTACCTTCACTGCCATGTCTTCATCATCATTTTTTGAGACGGGGTCTCGCTTTGTCACCCAGGCTAGAGTGCAGTGGCATGAACGTGGCTCACTGCAGCCTCGACCTCCTGGGCTTAAGCGGTGCTTCCACCTCAGCCTCCTGAGTCGCTGGAACTACCAGAGTGGCTGGGCTGATTTTTTGTACTTTTTTGTAGAGATGGGTTTTGCCATGTGGCCCAGGCTGGTAGTCATCCGTTTTTATTGGACCACTTCATGCTTTGATTTTCACTGTGGGGAAGGATTTCTTTTTTCTTTTTTCTTTTTTTTTGAGGCGGAGTTTCGCTCTCGTTACCCAGGCTGGAGTGCAATGGCGCAATCTCGGCTCACCGCAACCTCCGCCTCCTGGGTTCAGGCAATTCTCCTGCCTCAGCCTCCTGAGTAGCTGGGATTACAGGCACACGCCACCATGCCCAGCTAATTTTTTGTATTTTTAGCAGAGACGGGGTTTCACCATGTTGACCAGGATGGTCTCGATCTCTTGACCTCGTGATCCGCCCGCCTCGGCCTCCCAAAGTGCTGGGATTACAGGCTTGAGCCACTGCGCCCGGCCGGAAGGATTTCTTAAAGAGTTAGGAAGAGACTCAGGATGTTGTGGCCAGGGGAAAAGGATGCCTCCTGAGGGGGGCGGTAATCGTTGGTTTTGGGTGTTGCTGACAGATGAAAATGCAGATTAAAAGAAACACATTTAAGCCGGGCGCGGTGGCTCACGCCTGTAATCCCAGCACTTTGGGAGGCCGAGGCGGGTGGATCACGAGGTCGAGAGATCGAGACCATCCTGGTCAACATGGTGAAACCCCGTCTCTGCTAAAAATACAAAAAATTGGCTGGGCATGGTGGCACGTGCCTGTAATCCCAGCTACTCAGGAGGCTGAGGCAGGAGAATTGTCTGAACCCAGGAGGCGGAGGTTGCGGTGAGCCGAGATTGCGCCATTGCACTCCAGCCTGGGTAACAAGAGCGAAACTCCGTCTCAAAAAAAAAAAAAAAAAAAAAGAAAGAAACACATTTAACTGACCAAATAGGAAGCCATATGATCATTAAGAAAGGAGTTTCAGGCCTGGTGTGGTGGCTCATGGCTGTAATCCCAGCACTGTGGGAGGCCGAGGCAGGATGATCATGTGGGGAGGCCAGGAGTTCGAGACCTGCCTGGCCAACATGGTGAAACTCCATCTCTCTCTCTCTCTCTCTCTCTCTCTCTCTCTCTCTCTCTCTCTCTCTCTCTCTATATATATATATATATATATATATATATATATAAAATATAAAATTAGCCAGGTGTGTTGGTGCGTGCCTGTAATGTCCCCAACTCGGGCAGCTGAGGCAGGAGTGTTGCCCGAACAAGGAGGTGGAGCTTGTTGCAGTGAGCCGAGACTGCACTCCACTCCAGCCTGGGCGACAGAGTGAGACCCTATCTCAAAATTTAAAAAAAGAAAAAAAAAAAAAGAAGTTACAAAAGTGAATTGAGGAGAGAAGCCAGGTCATAGGGTGGCATAAACAGGGGCAGTAAGAACCAGTTTAGTGAATGAAGTTACACTCAAAGTCAGGACATAGAATTAGCCAGTTGGCAGAGGCTACCGCCCTCTCTGTGGGAAGGCAGGGAGAAGACACTGGGAGTTGGGGAAGCAAAGGGCCCCTTGGGACCAGCAGGGGAGGCACAGGTTGAGTGGTTGAATTAATTTATAATATTAGAAAGGAATTAGGCATACCTTTTCCTTAAAGTCAGGGGCATGAAAAGAGGCCAGACTTAGGGTCAGAAGATTGTTAATGTGGACGTGGGGCATGATGGTGCCACTTGCGACAAGCTATGGTTCAGGATAGTTGCTCTCTGGCTGGCCGTGCCTAGCAATATATGAAATATTGAGGAGTGAATTTTTGGTTGGAGTTGGTGATGCAGAGATGTAACCGATAAGGAAGAGAACTGGCCCTCATTTTCCTGCCGTCTCACTCTGTGACCATGGACAGATCATATTCTCTTGCCTCAGTTTCCCCATCCATAAAATTAAGAAATTGGATGAAATTATTTCTGAATTCTTCACTCTCTGAAGGTGGCCATGAAGGAGATTCTAGATACTGCATAATTGCCCCCAAATGTTCTGACTTTCATGAAGTTATTTCATAAAGCACCTTGAACCTTCTCAGAATAATTTCCCTTTGACCAGAATTAAAATGAAAATGTGATTCAGTCCATTAAGAACATTAAGGATTGATGATTTATTTTACAAAGAGATGCATCACTTTACCAAAAAATTCTTTGGAATGGTAAGATGCTATGATGCATTTGAAACAATCCATTTTGCAAAAATGTGTTCATCTTCAGCTCCTCAAGAGCATGTAAAAGGAAGAACATTTGCAGAGGTGAAAGTTTAGTGTGACATTAAATCCCAGCATTGCTTGTTACCTGCTAATTTGCCAGTTATTATTTCACTTCATTTAAGTTTCTGCTCAAATGTGACTTCCTTGGGGAGTTCTAGCTAAAAATAGTTCCACTGTCAGTCTCTGTCCTCTTATCCTGTGTTATTTTTATATCAGTTATCCTTACCAGATGTTTTATATTTATTTGTCAGTTTTTACCATTGGAACGCAAGATCTATAAAGATAGACGTTAATTTATTCATGCTGTAGTCCTGGTACCTGGATTAGTGCCTGGGATAGCAGAGGTGTTATTGAATGGATGGATGAATCTCACTCCATTTCAACCTATAGCAAAGTGGATGTTGAATCCAGAAGAATTTCCAGGATTCTTATTTGATGATTTCTAGGGTCCAAGGACTATCAACTGGTGACGTGGTCCCGGGATCAGACCTTGAGAATGTGGCGGGTGGATTCCCAGATGCAGAGGGTATGTATTCAGTGCTATGGTGGTGAAATGTACCTGGATCCACCAGAAAGTGTAAGATTCAGGATTTGTGGAAATTAGAGATTACAGGATAAACACTTTTTTTTTTTTTTTTTTTTGAGACTGAATCTCACTCAGTCTCCCAGGCTGGAGTGTAGCGGCGAGATCTCGGCTCACTACAACCTCCACCTCCTGGATTCAAGCGATTCTTGTGCCTCAGCCTCCCAAGAACCTGGGATTACAGGCCTGCCCACCACTATACTTGGCTAATTTTTGTATTTCTAGTAGAAACAGGGTTTCATCATGTTGGCCAGGCCAGTCTTGAACTCCTGACCTCCAGTGATCCGCCTGCCTCGGCCTCCTAAAGTGCTGATATCACTGATGTGAGCCACTGTACCTGGCAAGATAGACATTTAATATGTACTTACTGGTTGGCTGAGTGGCTGGTGTGTGCCACACCAAGGCTTTGAGGTCTTTAAGAACCAACCTCAGTATTCAGCTCTTTAAGGCCAGGGTCTAAATGTCTTTTCCCCCCTTATCTAATACAAGATAGTATTAGTAGCTTCCTGAGCCTGTGGCTTGTGGGGTTCATTTCTTTCTTTTCTAAATGTGCTAAGAAATCTACCCTTGCCGGTTGTGGTGGCTCACGCCTTTAATCCCAGCACTTCAAGAGGCCGAGGTGGGCAGATCACAAGGTCAGGAGTTCGGGACCAGCCTGACCAACATGGTGAAACCCTGTCTCAACTAAAAATACAAAAAAATTAGCTGGGCATGGTGGCGTATGCCTGTAATCCCAGCTACTCAGGAGGTTGAGGCAGGAGAATCGCTTGAAGCCAGGAAGCAGAGGTTGCAGTGAGCTGAGATCTCACCACTACACTCCAGCCTGGGTGACAGAGCGAGACTCCATCTCAAAAAAGAAAAAAAAAAAGCCTACCCTTGCATTCTGCAAATGCTTAGAGGCCTCTACATCCATCAACAGCACCACTTCTATGAAGCTGTTTATAATTTTTTCCCAATAAATGATATCTGTTTCTTACACAAACCACATGATATGAGCTGCTTTTGTGATTCTTGCTCTGCTCTGCCTTATCATAGGGCTCTGTCTGCTCCCCATTTGATGGCTCAATTTCTTGACAGTGGGAAGGTGTCTCACTTGTGTTGCATTTCCCACAGCACTTGGGACACTGCTTTGCATAGAATGAATAGAAAATACCAGATAAAAATGCCAACACTGCTTAGTATGAAGTCACTCTTGAGTATTTTGTTCAGATCTCATTACCTTATTGCATTTTCAATCTGTTTTCTCTGAAAGGTACAATTTGCACCAAATGCCTTGAGGTTATGATTTCATTTTTTGGGGGGGACGAAATCTCTCTCTGTTGCCCAGGCTGGAGTGCAGCCACGTGATCTTGGCTTACTGCAACCTCTGCCTCCTGACTTCAAGTGATTCTCCTGCCTCAGCCTCCTGAGTAGGTGGGACTACAGGCGTCTACCACCAGGCCTGGCTAATTTTTGCATTTTTAGTAGAGATAGGGTTTCACCATGTTGGTCAGGCTGGTCTCAAACTCCTGATCTAAGGCGATCTGCCCGCCTCAGCCTCCCGAAGTGCCTGGATTATAGGTATGAGCTACCATGCCCGGCTGGTTATGATATTTTTGCTCCTGGATTAGCTTAATAACTCCATCAAGGCTTGGAGTTAAAAGTAATTTTTTTTTTCCTGAGGCTTGCATGAACTCTGAACATGATGAAAAATTTCCAGGACTGAATAATAGGGTCTATTATCCTGGGTGTTTAACTAGGGAGAGCTGGTGATGGGTAAAATCTATTTTGATTATGTCAGCTCTTGGCTGACACATCTCTATCCATTGTCATTCCCATTTTTAACTCTTTAATCAGACATGATGATCTTTTCCACTGACTTCCCTGGAACTACATCTTCCCCACTTTGTTGCAGCTTTGTGCAAATGACATATTAGATGGTGTCGATGAGTTCATTGAGAGCATTTCTCTTCTGCCGGAACCTGAGAAGACCCTGCACGCTGAAGATATAGATCACCAACACAATGCAAGCCACGGGGAGGAAGAAGGTAATTTGTCAAACTGACGTCTCAGGTGAGGTGCCACTCTATGCATTGCAGAGATGTGGCAGATACCCCAGACCTGTTCCCTGATTGATTTTCAAAAATGCTTTCCAACATTGAACTTCTCTCTCCTGTTAGCCCTAAAGGAAGATCCCCCTAGCAATCTTCTGGAAGAGAGGAAATCAGATCAATTGGGACTGCCTCAGACCTTGCAGCAGGAATTCTCCCTGATCAATGTACAAATCCGGAATGTCAATGTGGAGGTACTTAGTTTAATCAACTGTGTCTCATGTTTGCAGACGGCAGTTTGTGGGAGAGGGAACCGTTTCAGCAACGATTTCAGTTAGTGAACAGCTTCACAGCTTTAACAGAACTTTGTCTGCTTGCTTTTTTATTTCCTGGGTTTTCTGGCCAGGTACGGTGGCTCACACCTGTAATCCCAGCACTTTGGGAGGCCCAGGTGGGTGGATCACTTGAAGCCAGGAAGTTAGGAGTTCGAGACCAGCCTGGCCAACATGGTGAAACACCCATCTCTGCTAAAAACACACACATACACACATACACACACACACAGAATTAGCCAGGTGTGGTGGTGGGTGTAGTTCCAATTACTCAGGAGGCTGAGGCACAGGAATCACTTGAACCTGAGAAGCAGAGGTTGCAGTGAGCTAAGATCACACCACTGCCCTCCAGCTTGGGTGACGGCAAGACTCTGTCTCAAAAAAAAAAAAGGGGGGGGGAATGCAGACTTTCTTCTTAATCCTATTCTTTTCTCCTAAGATCAGCCAAAGGAGAACCTGATGCTCATGTGCCTTAGCTCCTCCTTAGATGCTTCAACATTGCATTTTACTATAGAGGAAGACACTTGAACCTGGGAGGCTTAGTGTTTTGGCAGGAGTTGCTGCTGAGGTTATGGGCAGAGTTGACTTGGGAAGCCAGCCCTCCAGCCCCTGCAGGGTGCTCTGTGCTGTGCTGTGCTGTCTTCCCTCACAGGCTGAGGGATTTAGATTCATAGTAAGAAGGCAACCAAAACCTCTTTATTCACTTAGCCTGTGGAACATTTACTCTTCCTTTGGGGCAAGTATCGAAACTCTGCTTCAGAAAATTGAGTATCTCTCCAGGAAGGAGTTTTAAAGCTTGATTAGTTTTTCCTTCACCGAAATATAATGACTAGCAGGAAGGGGTACGTGCTGTTACTTAACTATCTCATGGGGCCTTTAAAACAAGTCTGCTGTAAGTGCTTTTAGCCTCACTTTACAGCTGAGGAAACTGAGACATCAAGAGAAGAAATGACTTGTCTGAGGTCAGCAGCTGTTTGGTGGAAGAAATAACATGTCCCCAGATTTCCCACGTGTGTGGTTCTTTTCACTTTGCTCCAGCTGCTGTCTCTAGATGGCAACACAAATCAAAAGATAGAAAGGGTTTTTTGCTGAATTAGTGATCTATATCAAGTCAGTTTATACTCCCTTTGTCCCATGTGAGGCCAGTGTGGATACCTGGTGATCAGTTTAAGATCTTGATTCCTTTTTTTTTTCTTCCTTTTTTTGAGACGGAGTTTCGCTCTTGTTGCCTAGGTTAGAGTGCAATGGCAGGATCTTGGCTCACTGTAACCTCTGCCTCCTGGGTTCAAGCGATTCTCCTGCCTCAGCCTCCTGAGTAGCTAGGACTACAGGCATGGACCACCATGCCTGGCTAATTTTGTAGCTTTAGTAGAGATGGGGTTTTTCCATGTTGGCCAGTCAGCCTGGTCTTGAACTCCCAACCTCAGGTGATCCACCCACCTTGGCTTCCCAAAGTGCTGGGATTACAGGTGTGCGCCTCCATGCCTGGCCTTGATCCCTTTCTTTGAGAGTACTTTAAAAAAATCATTGAGATATAATTCACATATTATAAAATTCACCTTTTTTTTTTTTTTTTTTTTTGAGTCTTGTTCTTTCCACCCAGGCTGGAGTGCAGTGGTGCAATCATGGCTCATTGCAACTTCTGCCTCCTGGGTTCAAGCGATTCTTCTGCCTCAGCTTCCTGAGTAGCTGGGATTACAGGTGCACACCACCAAGCTCAGCTAGTTTTTTTCCATACTTTTAGTAGAAATGGGGTTTTTGCCATATTGGCCAGGTTGGTCTTGAACTCCTGACCTCAGATGATATGCCCACCTTGGCCTTCCAAAGTGCTGGGATTGCAGGGGTGAGCCACTGCTCTGGCCAAAATATACCTTTTTAAAGTGTATTATCTGGTGGTTGTGGGTATATTCACAAAGTTGTGCACCCATTCCCACTGTCTGATTCCAGAACATTTTCATCATTTGCAGAAGAAACCCCATACCCATGACAGTTACTCCCTATTTCCCCTTCTCCCAGCCCCTGGCAATCCCCAGTCTACCTTATTCCCCTCTGGATTTTCTCAGGAGTACTTTTTAAGTTGACTCTGGCATTAAACTTTTTCCTGTGTTATTTTCCCATCTCAAAAGAAATATAACAAGTTTCTACCCCACAGCTTTGGGAGGAACCTTTGTTCAAGTCAGAATACTTTGAACTTTGTGATGGCTCACACCTATAATCCCAGCTCTCTGGGAGGCCAAGATGGGTGGATCATTTGAGGTTAGGAATTTGAGACCAGCCTGGCCAACATGGTGAAACCCCATCTCTACCAAAAACGAACAAAACCCACAAAGATTTGCCAGGCATAGTGGCTCATGCCTGTAGTCCCAGTATTTGGGAGGCTGAGGTGGGAGAATCACTTGAATGCAGGAGGTGGAGGTTGCAGTGAGCTGAGATCCTGCCACACCGCACTCTAGCCTGGGTGACAGAGTCAGACCGTGTCTCACACACATACACACACACACACACACACACACACACACACACACACACAAGAATACTTTGAGCTTATTACATTGGTATGAAAATTTAAGAATCTTTTTGAAAACTAATTGTCTTGCACACACATTTGTCTTCGTAGACTCTTTCCCTTCACCCAATTACTAGGAACATGGAGTGTTCAGTTCAATGCACTTGTGTCAAAAGACGCTTTGTGACTTGTCCCCAAAGCAGTTGTGGATTTGTTTGTTGCAGATGGATGCGGCGGACAGGAGCTGCACAGTGTCTGTACACTGCAGCAGCCATCGCGTCAAGATGCTGGTGAAGTTCCCTGCGCAGTACCCAAACAACGCTGCCCCTTCCTTCCAGTTCATTAACCCCACAACCATCACATCCACCATGAAAGCTAAGCTGCTAAAGGTAGGGGTCTGGGTTCCCAAATTCTTCTTGCTGTTCTGCATCTGCATCGTTGTCTAGGTTTTTCTTGGGATGGAGCGTTTCTCTCTCTGCCCAGGGTAAAGTGCAGTGGCGCAATCTCTGCTCACTGTAACCTCCGCTTCCTGGGTTCAAGCGATTCTCCTGGCTCAGCCTCCCTAGTAGCTGGGACTACAGGCATTCGCCACCATGCCTGGCTAATTTTTTGTATTTTTAGTAGAGACGGTGTTTCACTGTGTTAGCCAGGATGGTCTTGATCTCCCGACCTTGTGATCTGCCCGCCTCAGCTTCCCAAAGTGCTGGGATTACAGGCATGAGCCACCATGCCGGTTTGTCTAGGTTGAGTAGAAAAGAAGAATGAAAACTCCATTCAGTGAGGTTTAGAAGTCATCTGTTTCATACACACTCTAGGTATTAGCAATGTTCTTAACCTTTTGTGAGTCATGGACTTTCTTTGAAGTCTAATGAAAATTATGGACCCTTCCTCAGAAAAATCTGCACAATGATTGCTTATAATTTGAAAATATTGCCTATAAATATATGAATTGCATATAATCTGGCCACAGATCTTATTAACGCTATGCATCATCTCAAGTTAGGAGATTTGCAATCCAATTTCATTTAGGAGTCCAGGTTAGGAGCCCTGCAATCCAATTTTATTTACATGGAAATATAGGCAAGATGTATTCTGAAGCTAAAAGTTATTTTATAATTAGAAAAAAACATGTATAAGGTCATAAAAAAATTTTATCCTATAGAGGGAGCTGGTGTTATCCTCGAGACAGGCTGGCTAGCTGCACAGCAGGTGTCCAGATGGAGGCGCCACAGCCTGGCATCTGTGTTTAATTCTGCAGATTCAGAGACTTGATGCATCAGTTCATCCACAGTGAATCAGGTAGAATCTCCATGACAAAGCCCATGAGCTTTTTCATCACCTTGTTCAGTCTGAGCAGTGTCACAAGTGAAGGGTCTGAAGTATTCTGACAAACTCAGGCCACCCTGAGTGCTGCTCTTTTTTTGCCCAGTTTGGGTCATGGACACTTGATTGTTTCATATTGTTGAGTTATCCCACGGAACCAGAAAATTTTCAGATGCCTTAAGGATCTCTGAAATGCCATTAATTCAGATCTTGTGGTATTTGACATGTTAAACTTGGAATCTGAATATTTCACTGCCTAGTTTGGACATATGCAAAAGATAGATTTTTTTCTGTTAGTATAAAATGATATGATTAGGAAGTGTCTTTAAAGGTCTAATTTGTCTAATTCAGGGCTGGTTGCTGTGGCTCACACCTGTAATCCCAGCACTTTATGAGGCCGAGGCAGGTGGATCACTTGAGCTCAGGAGTTTAAGACCAGCCTGGGCAACACAGCAAAACCCTGTCTCTGAAAAAAATATAAAAATTAGCCAGGTGTGGTTGTGCATGCCTGTAGTCCCAGCTACTCAGGAGGCTGAGGTGAGAGGATTGCTTAAGCCTGGGATGCCGCAGTTGCCATTAGCTGAGATCGCACTACTGCACTCTAGTCTGGGTGAGAGAGTGAGACTGTCTTAAAAGAAAAATAGGTCTGATTCAGTGCAATCCAATAGAAATATAATTTAGGCCACATGGAATTGTAAAATTTTCTAGTAACTACACTAAAAAAATTAAAAGTAACAGTTTGTTTTGGGAATATTTTTATTTAATTCAGTATATCTGAAATACTCTCCTATTAAACATATAATCAGTATAAACTTATGGAGACATACACACTTCTTTTCTGTACTGTCTTCCACATTCACTGTGGATGTTATACTTAACAGCATCTCTCAGTTTGGACTAGTGACATTTCAAGTGCTCAGTAGCCCCATGCGGATGGTGATAACCCAGGCTCAGTTTATATGCCTGTCTTCAGTGTTGTATGTTAGTTCATGTCTGTAGCATACACCTTAACCCATTTATGCTGGAGGTTGCAATTTTTTTTTTTTGGTGAAAAATAAGACCTTGGCCAGGCACAGTGGCTCACACCTGTAATCCTAACACTTTGGGAGGCCAAGATGGGTGGATCACCTGAGGTCAGGAGTTCAAGACCAGCCTGGGCAACATGGTGAAACCCCATCTCTGCTAAAAATACGTAAGGTAGCTGGACATGGTGGTGTGTGCCTATAATCCTAGCTACTCAGGAGGCTGAGACATGAGAATCGCTTGAACTCTAGAGGTGGAGGTTGCAGTGAGCCAAGATCGTGCCATTGCAATACAGCCTGGGCAATAAGAACGAAACGCTATCTCAAAAAACAAACGAACGAACAAAAAAACAGTAGCATAAAAAAAGAGCACTGGTATATAAATAACTCCCACAAGCTTGGTGTTCCAGTAATGGAACACTAGGCATAATGGGTTTAAAGTGTTAGTATTTATATATATATATATATATATATATATTTTTTTTTTTTTTTTTTTTTGAGACGGAGTTTCGCTCTTGTTACCCAGGCTGGAGTGCAATGGCGCGATCTCGGCTCACCGCAACCTCCGCCTCCTGGGTTCAGGCAATTCTCCTGCCTCAGCCTCCTGAGTAGCTGGGATTACAGGCACGCGCCACCATGCCCAGCTAATTTTTGGTATTTTTAGTAGAGACGGGGTTTCACCCTGTTGACCAGGTTGGTCTCGATCTCTCGACCTCGTGATCCACCCGCCTCGGCCTCCCAAAGTGCTGGGATTACAGGCTTGAGCCAAGTATTTATATTTTTAAAGAACAAAAAGGATACTATAATTTTCACTGAAGTGAAATCGGTTCCTCTTGTCTTATATCATTGAGAGCAATTTCAGCCTGGACCTGTGGGTATTACTTCCAAGGTACTGATATTTCTCCTGGAGAGGGTAGTGTTGGGGGTGAGGAAAAGGGCTTTTATTCACTATAAAGAAATAATAGTCCTTCTGTTACTAAAAGCTGCCCTCTCAGTACCCACGTATGTGCTGCCTTAGTTAGGGAAAGAGCTTCTCTAGCCAGGCTGAGGAATAAATCCTGTTTGAACCTCTGTAGAGGTAGAAAATAGATTAGTACACTGCGTTGGAAGCCTTGACTTAACCCTGCACCCGGCTCCCAGCGTCACCCTGTGTCTGACCACTTTGCAGAAGAAAAGGCAGTCAGGGCCGACCGTGGTGGCTCATGCCTGTTATCCTAGCACTTTAGTAGGCTGAGATGGGCAGATTACTTGAGGTCAGGCCAGCCTGGCCAACGTGGTGAAACCCCTTCTCTACTAAAAATATAAAAATTAGCCAGGCATGGTGGCGGGCACCTGTAATCCCAGCTACTTGGGGGGCTGAGGCTCGAGAATCACTTGAACCCGGGAGGCAGAGATTGCAATGAGCTGAGATTGCACCACTGCACTCCAGCCTGGGCAACAAAGAGAAACTCTGTCTCAAAAAAAATAAAATGCCTATAGGAGAAATGTGTTCCTCTTCTTGACTGTGTTTTGGGCTTTTTCTAGATCCTGAAGGACACGGCCCTGCAGAAAGTGAAGCGTGGCCAGAGCTGCCTGGAGCCCTGCCTGCGCCAGCTCGTCTCCTGCCTTGAGTCCTTTGTGGTGGGAAGCATGAACTTGTCGTACCAACTTATGCTTTACTGTTTTGTTTATTTCTTTCTCCCTAAAATCATGAGTTTTCTGGTTTTGTAATGCTGGGTCTTTATTTCGTAATTCAGCTTTAAGGCAGGTTGTGGTTTTCAGTTTGTGGATTTTTAAATTTCAGAACCAGGAAGACAGTGCTTCCAGCAACCCGTTCGCACTCCCCAACTCCGTCACACCTCCCTTACCCACATTTGCACGGGTGACCACTGCCTACGGGTCGTACCAGGACGCCAACATTCCTTTTCCTAGGACTTCTGGGGCCAGGTTCTGTGGAGCAGGTGGGTCTCTTTGGTTCTCCGATTCTAGATTTTGAGAGGGAGCAGCTAAGAATGGCATAGATTCTGTATAAACATCGTCATCAGGAAATGTTTGCTTTTATTTCCGGAGAACTTAAATGAGACTTTCATAGCAGTGTCTCTGCGGACTTCCCCTAAGAATGTGCACTAGAATGGCGGTCTTAGCTTTCTTCATTCTGATGAACTTGGATTTGGGTCTTCACTCAGAGCCCTGATTCTTAGTGGGGGACAGCCCCTGCTAGGGAGGCTTAGAGTCCCACTGACGACTCTGCCCAGTCCACATGCGTCCTCCCTCCTGGACCCTGGAGTGCTGACCTTGGTTCCTGGTAAGGGTCACTGCAGTCATGAGTCTTGCAGCTTATGAAAATGTGTCTGACCCTCAAGTATACAGAGATAGAAGAAAGACTGTCTAGTCCTGCCTCAGGATTTCCCAGGTCCAGCTTGTTGACACTGATATGCTCATGTGATATCTCCTTCAGGTTACCTGGTATATTTCACAAGGCCCATGACGATGCATCGGGCAGTGTCTCCCACAGAGCCGACTCCAAGGTGAGTCCAGGAGATACAGAAGCCACTCTGTGTACCTGAGGCCAGACGTGGGCAGAGACCTGAGAAGGACCACTGAGTTTGTCTTCGGACAATGAGTTTTAGTTCTTCAGTGGGAGCTTTTAAACTCCCATTTTAAGATTTATTTGAGAAAGACTGAAGTCAGTTAAATTGCAAGAAAGCTGAGATTTCTGCTTTATGGTTATTACCAAACCATTAGAAGAAGTAGCTTGATAAAAGCTATTGTCAAAACAAGCCAAATTCTTTTTAAATGTGCCTTTCCCCATTCCTAGCTTATTATTGTTTGTTTTTGAATATTTTATTATTCAATTTACCATGAAATAAAACTGGAAAAATAACAAAAAGACCATCTGTAGATTCACACCACTAATATGCCACTTCTTATATTACCAAACAATGTTTAATTTTAAAGCATTGCATAAGTAGTGCATTGGGAAAACACAAATGTGCAAGTTTGTTTTTTTTTTTTTTGAGATAGGATCTGGCTCTGTCACTCAGGCTGGAGTGCAGTGGTGTGATCATAGCTCACTGCAGCCTCTGCCTCCTGGCTCAAGTGATCCTCCTGCCTCAGCCTCCCAAGTAGCTGGGAATACGGGTGTGCACCACCGTGCCCAGCTAATTTTTATATTTTTTGTTGAGACCGGATTTTGCAATGTTGCCAGGCCAGTCTCAAACTCCTGAGCTGAAGCAATCCACCTGTCTGACTTGCCTAAAGTGTTGGGATTATAGGTGTGAGCCACCATGCTGGCCTGGAAGTTTTAAATTAAAATGTCAAAGCCCTTCTTTTCTTTTTCACTGTTTTAGGCAGAATGATGCTTAACAACAGAACATGTTTCTGTCTAGTCATTATTTTTCTGTGCTTTAAAGTTTTTCTTTATAGGCAATCTAGTGTAGCAGACAGGAACATGGACTTCAGCGCCAGTGTGCCCAGATCCAGATTTTGGCCCTGTCATTTTATGACCTTGGGCAAGTTACTTAAACTTCAGCTTCAGTTTCTTCAACAGTCACATGGGGATGATCATAGCACCTACTACCTTCAGTTGCTGGGAAGATTAAGTCCCTGTAAAAACATTTAAAACACCATCTGGCACATCGGAAGTGTTCCGTGTTTCGTGTTATGATTACTGGTTTTTAAAACTTTAGGATTATACAGTAGGCTTCTGGTTCTGTAGTCTGGTGGCCAAGATATAACAACTTGCAAACCTCCCTGCTGCAAACCTTTGAAGGCATTGGATACAATATACTCAGCATAGTCATTGTTTTAGTCCATTCTCACACTGCTATAATGAGCTGCCCAAGACCGGGTAATTTATAAAGAAAAGAAATTTAATTGACTCACAGTTCCACATGGCTAGGGAGGCCTCAGGAAACTTAAAGTCATGATGGAAGGTGAAGAGACACATCTTATATGGCAGCAGGCAAAAGAGAGTGTGTGTACGAAGGAGAAATTGTCAGATCTGATAAAACCATCACGTCTCACGAGAACTCACTCACTATCGTGAGAACAGCATGGAGGACACTGTCCCCCGATCCAGTCACCTCTCACTATGTCCCTCCCTGGACACGTGGGGATTGTGAGGATTACAATTCAAGATGAGATTTGGGAGTAGGCATAAAGCCTAACCATATCAGTTATGAATGAATAGCTGAGTTAACAAGAAAGAAGGAAAGAACTGAATGACATGTGTGAGCAGACACTGCTGGTTTGCCAAGAGGTGGCTAGTCTCTGCAGTAACCCAGGCACAGATGTGACCTGGGCCCCATGGGAACTGGGGTTAAGTACTAGGGAACACCTACATTACACCCAATTCCTTATTGCAGTAGAAAACATTCCCATATTCTCAAAGGGAAACAAGGAATATCTATATCTGGACTTTGGATTAGAGGGGAAAATGTTCCTATTAGAATGTTTTTCAACTGACAGTCCTTTACTGAGACAGTTTACTGTACAAAAATCTGAAGCATACAGCTTGGTGACCAACACTCATACCAAGATATACAGCATTGTCCTCATCCCCAAAGGTTCCCCGTCCCTTTCCCCAGCCCTTCAGCACCCAGAGGACACCACTATGTTGACTTCTGTCATTGTAGTTAAGTTTTGCCTATTCTTAAACTTCATTGAATGGAATCATGCAGCATGACCTGTTTTATGTATGGCTTACTTTGCTTAATGTAATGTTATTGACATTGGTCCACATTGCTGCATGTGTCAGTAGGTTCATCGTGTGAATATAATACAGTTTGTTTATTCATTGTCCTGTTGGTAGATATTTGCATTCTTTCCAGTTTTGGGCTCTTCTGAGCAAACCTGGATACATATGTTTATAAAAAAAACTTGTGTATTACTTTCTGCACCTGAGGAGCAGAATTCCTCAGTCATTGGATAGATGTATGCTTAACTTGAGAAATTGCTCAAAAGTTTGTACGCAGTGGTTGTGCCATTTTACCCTGTACCAGCAATGTTTCAGAGCACTGGTTGCTGTGTATCCACTCCGAAACTGGGTATTGCTAGTCTTTTCAACTCTAGCCATTGTGTTGTGAGTGTACTAGTTTTTCACTGTAGTTTTAATTTGCATTTCCTTGTTGATGATGAATGATGATGTGCATATTGACCATTTGGGTATCTTTTTTTTGTGATGTGCTTGTTAAATGTTTTGCCTATTTTGGGGGAACTGTTATTTCTTATTTATTTGTGGTTGTTAACCTATTTTGGTTGCAAATTCTTTGCTAGATGTATGTATTGACTTTCTCCTAATCTGTGGCTTGCCTTTCTCCCTCTTTAATGTTTTTCAGTGAACAGCATTTCCTAATTTTGATGATGTCCAGTTTATCACTTTTTAATTTTTATGTTTAGTGATTTATGTGTTGTGCCTCAAAAATCTTTTCCAGTCCCAAGGTCATGAAAATACTCTTCTTTTTTTTGAGACAGAGTCGCACTCTGTCATCCAGGCTGGAGTGCAGTGGCTCAAACTCCTGACCTCAAGTGACCTGCCTGCTTCGGCCTCCCAAAGTGCTGGGATTACAAGCATGAGCCACTATATCCGGCCTTGTGTTTTCTTTTAAAAGATTTATAGAAAAATAAATAGATAAATAAATAAAAATAAAAGTTTTGTAGATTTAAATTCCTTATTTAAGGTCTGTGATCCATTTCAAATTGATTTTTGCATGTAATGTGAGTTAGGGGTCAAAGTTTGTTTTATTTTGTACAGAAAATTAGTTGTTCTAGCACCATTGATGAAAAGATTTTCTTTTGTCATTGAATTTGTATTGATGGCTTTGGTGAACGTCACTAGACCATATATGGTGGTCTTTCTGTACTCTTTTCCTTTGATCTATTTATCTTTTATGCCAACACTAATAATGTACCTTTATGTAGTTAAGTCTTCAAATCTGATAGGTCAAGTCCTCCAAGTACATTATTCTTGTTTAGTTCAGGTTGGCTATTCAGGTTTAGTTCCTACTAAAAAGCCTGGTTGCATTTTGATTGTAATTGTGTTGACTCTATAGATCAGTTTAGAAAAAACTGCCATCTTAAGAATATAGACTCTTCCAATCCACTAGCATGGTATATTTCTCCATCATTGTATATCTTTAATTTCTCTCAGCAACATTTTGTATTTTCATAAATTAAATTTATTCCTAGGTATTTGACATGTTTTAATGCTACTATAAATGAGTTTTAAAAATATTTATTTTTCAAATATTTGTTTCTAATGTATGGAACTGTAGTAGATATTTGAACTATAGTAGATATTTGACCTTGTATTCAAATTCACTTATTCTAGTAGTTTGTAGATTTCTTTCAATTTTTAATGCCTGTAGTCATAGAAGCATTCTATGCTTCTGCAGATGAAGCATTTTTCAGTGTTAAAAGTTATACTGACTTCTTTTTCTGGAGTTTCCATTTTCTCATTTTGTCTTCTCTTGGTGTCAAGTACTAACAACAGCACCACTTGGAAATATGACAGGACTGCAGCCAGTGTGGATAATTATCATTTTCAACTACAGATCTCTCTCAGCTTTGTCCGCTTATCACACGGGCTTGATTGCGCCCATGAAGATCCGCACAGAGGCCCCTGGGAACCTTCGTTTATACAGTGGGAGCCCCACTCGCAGTGAGAAAGAGCAGGTCTCCATCAGCTCCTTCTACTACAAGGAGCGGGTAAGTGCCAGAGCTGTGGCCTTTGATTCTTAGCCCGCCTCCTGGATTCTTGTTCATCATCTCCTGTCTGGCCCAGCAGCTAGATTAGTAAACCCCCTGTAGTCTTCCACTTTCATAATCAGTTTGTTCAAGAAAGGCATTGCTTTGTTCCTTTTAGTTGGTTTTAACTGCTGTTAGTTGTGTGTGTATGGAGGGGTGGGTGGTTCTTATGGTCCGTAGTCTTTAGTGCCCATTTAACCCTGTTCTCGCAATCTCCATTCACTGAGTCGGTTCCCATTATTTCGAGGTAGAATACCTTAGCTTCACATCTTCCATGGTTTTCTGATGTTTGTCAGGAAATTAAGAGATACCTCTGAAGTTTTGGGATCTTAATATATTTGGAACTTCATAGTTGTAAAAAGTCTTAAAGTTGATGTCTAAAAGATTGGATTGTTGTTTTTTTGTTGTTCTTTTTTTCACTAAGTCTACATGGAAATACCCATTTGAGTGGACCAGATGATATAAAAATTACCTGAGCTTGTCCTTATGTGCCTAGCTTTTCAAAGAACTCATTGTCCCTAAAGTAGTTATCATTAAGCTGTCAGAAACCTTTGGTGCCAACAGTGTAGAGAATGTTGGCAGAACACAGGAATGATCCCAAGAAAGCTTTCTGTGTTGACAGATCGCAAGTCTGGCTTAAACAGACTTTTAGCTGACATGTTTTAAACAGAGTTACCACTGAGCACTGCACAGACTTAGGAATTCTTTGTTGTTATCTCTCGCTCCACGAGAAATAATGGATTGTAATTGATATGTGTTTTTTAAAAATTGAATTATTTTAGACCAGGCACCCTTTTCTAGGAAGTATTAATAGTGTCTTCAGTTTGATTGCAGTAGAATGTCTAACTTTATAAGTTTACACCGATAGTTGACTATCTCTGACTTTATTTTAGGGTTGTATGTAACTAAAATGAGTGGCAGCAACTGACGTTTGAGACCAAACCAGTCTTGAGCAAAATCATTTAGTCAAATAGGGAAAACTTTTTTTTTTTTTTTTTTGGCTTTTCGGGACGCTTTCCTATAGTCCCCTTCCTCACATCTCTGATGGAGTTCTGCCCACTTGGCTATTACAGACCTCCCTGGAACACCCACTAATCTGTATCATCTCCAAGTCCTTTCCATGCAAAATTGTTAGTTCTTTTTTCCCACATGCTCCCAGGTAATTGGATAGATGATTTGATAAACAGGTTGAAACTAAGACGTTTTGTTGAGATGAAAGCCAGGTTCATGTGGGGTAATGTGGGGATTTTCTTGAGTGTCAGGCCCAGAGATCAAGGAGAGCTTTCAGTCCAAGAGGCAGTTCTGAATTCCTCTTTGATTCATGTCATATGCCACCCATATTTGGGTTCAGATTGGGCAGAATGGACTAATTTTGGCTTTGTGGAGGTGTGTAAATCCCACTCTAATCAAAATAACTCCATTTCCAAGATGAGGCCTCTTTCAAGCCTGTGTTCATGTTTTTGATGGTATGGCCCATTTTTTTTTATTTTTTTAATTTTTTTACTACAAACACCATAATTATAAAGAGGAACCAAGAGCATGTGGATAATTCTCTCATCAGATAGGATCTGCAGGGGAGTGGAGGAAGAGTTGTGATATTTTAGTTCGGGGTGGTTCCCACTGCACTGTTCTGCAGAGAAAATGGGCTGTTCAAGCCCCCTAACAGACATAGTAAGGGGCCTTTTATGTTTTATTTCAAATAATGACCAAATAAAATGGGGTGATGCTTTGATTATAATTTCATGTGAAACTCATATTGATGGATACCACATAAAGAAAAGTTCACAAATCAAAGCGTATAGTTCAGTGAATTAATAATCACACAGGTCAAGAAAGAGAACATTTCAAAAACCTCAGAAACCTTGGAGTGTTAGCTTAACTCATACGAAATTGCTGATATTTGACCATTTTTGACCTAAACAAAGATTCATGTGGTTCAACTTAATAGACTAACAAGATAAAAATGAGTAGTCAGTCCTTTTGTGATGAATTTGATACAAATTTTTCTCTCTTTGAAGTTTGTTCATGTCCATCCCATTTGTGTAGGGGTCAAGGTGGGAATTACATAAGTGGAATATGGCCATGATATCTTTTTTTTTTTTTTTTTTTCTTTGGAGACAGAGTCTTGCTCTGTCGCCCAGGCTGGAGTGCAGTGGCACAATCTGGGCTCACTGCAACCTTCAGCCTCCTGAGTTCAAGTGATTCTCCTGCCTAAGCCTCCCAAATAGCTGGGATTACAGGCACCTGCCACCATGCCTGGCTAAGTTTTGTATTTTTTAGTAGAGACAGGGTTTTACCATGTTGGTCAGGCTGGTCTTGAACTCCTTACCTCGAGATCCGCCCGCCTCGGCCTCCCAAAGTGCTGGGATTACAGGCTTGAGCCACTGTGCCTGGCCAGCTGTGATATATTATGTGAACTACCTTGCCTTGCTTACAAAGGTTGATACCTCTTGAGGTGCATTTTCTAATCCCCAGCTGTCTAGTTTCACATGTCAAATGATGTCACTTTTGTTGCTTTTTTTATGGAAATGATTCCAGTCTACTAAGTTTCTGTTTGTGTTTTTAGGTTTTGGATTTTTTTTTTTTTTTTTTTTCCTAATAAGACATGGGGCCTTTCCCTATTGCCCAGGCTGGAGTGCAGTGGTGTGAACATGCTCACTGCAACCTTAGTCTCCTGGGCTCAAATGATCCCCCACTCAGCCTCCTGAGTAGTTGGAACTACCGGAGTATACCACATCGCTCAGTTAATTAAAAACAAGTATTTTTGTAGAGCCGGGTTCCCAGTATGTTGCCCATGCTGGATTTCTCTGTGTTTAGGTCTTCATTTTTAGCCCAAATTTTTCTCCTACATGTTTTTATTCCCTTTTAGATCTCTGCCCTTGAGAGCTTTAAGTAAGTGAGAATAAGGCATAACAATGAGGGAAGTATTGTGAGGTTTTTTTTTTGGTTTTGGGGGGTTTTTTGGTCTGTTTTTTTTGTAGAGATGAGGTCTGGCTTTGTAGCCCAGGCTGGTGTCAAGCTTCTGGGCTCTAGCAAGTCTCCCAGCTCAGCCTCCCAAAGTGCTGGGATTATTGGCATGAGCCGCTTCACCCAGCCAGTATAGTGGTTTTTTTTGACACAGAGTTTTGCTCTTGTTGACCAGGCTGGAGTGCAGTGGTGTGATCTTGGCTCACTGCAACCTCCACCTCCCGGGTTCAAGAGATTGTCCTGCCGCAGCCTTCCGTGTAGCTGGGATTACAGCCCCCTCCCCACCAACGCCCAGCTAATTTTTTGTTTTAATAGAGGTGGGGTTTCACCATGTTGGCCAAACTGGTCTTGAACAACTGACCTCAGGTGATGCAGCCACCTCGGCCTCCCAAAGTGCTGAGATTACAGGTGTGAGCCACTGCATCCGGCCCAGTATAGTATATTTTTGAGATATCAAAACATCTTTATAGAGCCATTTAGAGATTATTGTTTGTTTCTCTCGTGGCTTTGTGTGTTTTTAACCTGCCCTACTTAGGTTTTATTATATTCACTCAAATATTCTCTAGATGGAATTCCAAGGTTTGCTCCTGAAAATTTTAAAATGTGAGATGCCTAAAAAAACCATCAAATTGCTAACATTCATTTGACAAGTGGACCAACTCTTAGTGCTGATAAAATGTTCATTCCTAGGATAAATCAGAAGGCCCAGAACTCAGGATAAGCATTAGGTATTGCCTTGCATACATTTAAACCTTTTTGCAAACTCCCACCCTTGCTTTAGTTTATGTTACTAAAATAGCTCTGAGGTAAATAACTAGAATCGTCTTTAGGTTAATAGAATAATTTCTGATCTCCATAAACAGATACTCATATTGTTAGCAAGGGTGCTTTCAGGAAGGTCCCTCCTCAGCATTATCCCCTTCCTTCCCCTCGTTTTTCCAGGGCTCCCACAGCCCATGGCATCACTCTGAAGATAGTCCTGCAGGCCCAACGTCCAGACACCCAATCCCCTCATTGCCCCCACCACATACCAGAAAACATTTGGTATTGAGCCTGTTCAAGAACGTCTTCCTTTTAGGAATGAGAATGTGCTGTTCTCCTTACCTACTACAGGGGAAGACAGGCTTCTGCCTGTTTCTCCACTTGCACAGTGATCTTAGTGCTATCAGTGTTCCTCAAACCTATTTGTAGTTCCTTTGTCAGAACTATGTTAATATCAGCCTCCATATACCTTGAAATGTGACTGAAAGAACAATGAAATTGAAGCTGTGTTTGGAGTGTGATGGGTGGGAGGGAGGTGAGGGAATCCGAATACTGCTGTGCTTAGGTTCATATTTTTTAGTCATTTCAATCCCGACTTTACAGTGTATTATGGTACATTTGAATCCATCAGATATATAGGAAGCTTTCACTTTATTCTATATTTTTCCCTTTTAATTTTCTTGGTGTTTTTCTTCCCTCCTCCTGGGTGTAACGTTTTCATGCACAGATGTCTCCTCGCTCTGCCCGGCGGCGTTGGTCCATACAAGCAATTAACGACTTCCCGGTACTGTGCGCTGTGCAAATGCTCTCCTTAACTAATCCTGTCTCTACCCAAGGCCCAAGAATAAAATGCCACCTGCCTGGCTTTGAGGAACCTGAAATGACAGGCTAGCTGTTTTCAGGACCAGCAACAGTCAATTTTTGCTTGGGGGAGTTCAGGCACCCAGGGCTGCCCCCTTGTCCAATCACACAGTTTCAAATGGCTAACGTTGTCAGGGATCCTGAATGGATTCTTTTTGCAAAGGAAACTTAATACTGCATTTCTTGGAAAGAACCCTAATTGTAAGCCGTTAGCTCACCCAATTTCACTTGGAGCATTTGTGTAATTTTTTGGAGCTTTCAAAAGCCCACCTTTGGCATGGGGGGAGCAGAGGAAGATATAAGAGGCTTATACTGTTTTGTCTCTGCTTTTATAGTCATGGTCTAGTTCAGAGAGGGAGGTGCCCACCTGCTTCATTGGCATAACACAGAAGCTAGTTTTTATCCTTTGGGAAGTTTCTGGAACAAATTTTTTCCTTACTGTCACTATTTTGTGTAGACACTAAAACCTCTGCTGTGGACATCCTCTCTTCCTTTTCTTTCTTTCTTACTCACTTCTTTGGCCATTTCCCCTCTTCTGTCTTCCTCTCCCATCCCCTTCATGTTTCAGTAGTGCCAAGATGACCTCATGCTGTGCATGGCAGCCTTGAGGCTTTGTATAAATTTCATTTGGTATAAAGAATGTTCAGGGGAATCACCTTATAGCCTTGTCATTGAAAACCAGTTGGAATCAGAAGACCCAATTAGCAAGTACCACTGCTGCCAACAGCTTGTAGGTGGAGCCTCCAATGGGGCCACCTTCCAAAAGTCTGCCCCAGCCAACCTGACTGCCGAATTCCCACTGATTGTCCAGAAGTCCCTGCTCCCGCTGCTATTTCAATAGGGACTCATTTAGACTCCCTGCCCACTCTGCGGATTATGCATTGCTAATGGGGTTTCTACGAAGCAGTTGGTGGCTTATTCTTGGGCTGTTCTTACATTCAACCCATTTATTGGCATCAATGTTGCCTCCGATTGTAGCAGTAACACTGGTGGTACAGTCTCAAGCTGGCTATTGGTTGTCATTCAGTGCTATTTGCACCAATGCCTCCCTCCTGCCCCCCAACCCCCACCCCACTCCTTTCTTCCTTGTCCTCTTTGCCATAACTCCATGAACGCCTTCTTGGTTTGTTCAGAGGGGCAGCCTGGTGCTCATCATGTAGTAATTTGTCTGTCTCGCTTTGTCTCTCTTCCCTCAATTTCTTCTCATGAAATCTGTAGGACAGGACATTTGCTATTGATTGAGCATTGAACAGGTCAAGTCCTTTGCCTCCCAGAGGTATTAACTTGACTGCATAGAGAAGAACCCATTTTTAAGCCCATGACAGTGGGACTGGAGCGATGCAGGAGGTTCAGGGGCTTTTAGGCCATGGTGCCCTTCCCCAACGCAGAAAGATTAACCACACCTTAGCCGCACATGTCAGTATGCTCTGGAACCAGAGGATCCTAAAAGAAATCTGTATGTTATTACCTGTCAGTTGCACAGACAAGAGAGATTCCTAAAATTGCCAGCAAGATCCTAAGAGGAAAATTGCTTAGGAGAGGTGTGGATGGAACATGAGTGCTTCTTATTGCCAGGGCACTGGGGAAAATACCCTGAAAAGGTGTCCATCTACTCATTAGGTAGCAGCAGGGGCCTAAGACCCCAGCTAGTAGCTGATCTGATTTGAGATTTAGCCTCTCCATTTAGACAGCCTTGTTACATGAGAAATACCAGAGTAACTGGCCAATAGTCACGATTACCAACTAATCCCTGAAGCCTGAAGGAGAGATATTTATGTTTAAAAACCACTAACCAACACATTTAAAAAAAAAGGGCAGTGACAGTATTTTGCAGCCCCTTAAAGATTTTTGACAATGTTTCACAGTTACTTCTTGCTAGATTTAAAAAATGTACAACACTGTCCCATAATTGCTTTTACAGTTTGGTTCCTGGTAGCAGGTCTAATTAGGGTGATCCTCTGTTAGGGAACCTCCTTCTATGGCAGGCTTAAAGGCAGCTGAGAGAGATTTCATAAAGCACCTCCTATTTATTCAGTATGGATCAAACAGAAATACATAGAAGCCTGGTGTCTCAAGAATTCCCAGCATATACAGACTGTTATTTTCATAATTCAATGAAGGGTCATTGCAAAAAGTTGCAAAGAACACCCTCTATATTTTCATCAAGTATTGATGGGTCACGTAGGTTTGTTTCCACTGATCTTTGAAACCCAGAGCTGCAAATGGGGGAAGAGTCCTTAAGACATCTCTTCGGACTCTTAGTTTTCTTCTGTCTCATTGTGCCTAATCCTAACAAATCCCAAAAGGAGCCTAAGCAATGTGAGGTGCCCGGCCTGAAAAGCAGCATCTTGGTCGGAATCTGGCTTGCCCTCCTATGAAGCCATGTAGCTGCAGGAGCTGCAGCCTCTGCAGATCTTCAGTAGACACTCAGGCTGAGCAGAACATAGTCACGATGCTGACAGAAAGTGACTAAAGAAGTGAGTCATGGTAGAAGGGTGGAGCTGGACAGGCATCACTGGAATCCAATGCTAATCTCCTTCATACAGAACGGATCCTTTAAAAAATGGGCCAAGCGATTTCCATATTAACAGGGAACTCAGGATTTATTATTTATTACTTTTAATCTAAAATTATATACTAGACCAAGTGATTTCTATATTAACCGGGAGTTTGGGATTTATTATTTTTTATTATTATTATTTTTGAGACGGAGTCTTGCTCTTGTTGCCCAGGCTGGAATGCAATGGCACGATCTTGGCTGACTGCAGCCTCCACCAGCTAGGTTCCAGCGATTCTCCTGCCTCAGCCTTCTGAGCAGCTGGGATTACAGGTGCCTGCCATTATGCCTGGCTAATTTTTTATATTTTAAATAGAGATGGGGTTTCACTATGTTGGCCAGACTGGTCTTGAACTCCTGACCTTATGCGATCCACCTGCCTCAGCCTCCCAAAGTGCTGGGATTACAGGTGTGAGCCACTGCACTCGGCCTATTTATTATTTTTTAATCTAAAATTATGTGCTGAAAATCAAGTTAACAAGAATGGGCTTAGCAGCCTGACAGGCCTGTGTTCAAATCTCAGCACTTATGGCTGTGATCTAAAGGAAGCCTCATGTCCTTATTTGTAAAATGGAGGGAGTATCCCTTGTCACAGAGCTGTCGTAAGTGAGGCTTATGCTAGCACAGAGTGAGCAATCCAGGAGCAGGAGCAGATACTCTAAGTCTTCAGTCAAACATTCATACACGTGGACTTGTGTCATTTGTCAATTCCAAATGAGCTAGTCTGTTTTGCAAATGAGCTGCTTTGGGCATATGGATCTTAACATAATTAATAATATGCTTTTATTAAGTTTGTTTTAAAGGTCAGGAAATGGTGAGTTTTTTTTTCTTTTTTCTTTTTTCTGAGGCAGGGTCTCGCTCTGTCGCCCACGCTGGAGTGCGGTGGTGCGATCTCAGCTCACTGCAACCTCTGCCTCCCGAGTTCAAGCAGTTCTCCTGCCTCAGCCTCCCAAATAGCTGGGACCACAGGCATGAACCACCATGCCCTGCTAATTTTTGTATATTTTGTAGAGACGGGGTTTTAACTTTTGGGCCAGACTGGTCTCAAACTCCTGGCCTCAAGCAATCTGCCTGTCTTGGCCTCCCAAAGTATAGGATTACAAGCATGAACCGCCGCACATGCCCGGCCCAGGGTTATTTGTATTTCAAAAGCTAGTAGACTTCATTGTTCTTTGAGGCCTTCATTTCAGCTGTGCAGTTAAACTGAGCAAAGTGAGTTGTTCAGTTGTTTAAGTGCTTCTCATTTTGTCTTTTTGGAATAAAGAGCCAGAGTGACTGCCTGGATCAGTGTTTTAGAAGCCTTCTACCCTACCCAGAAGACCAAATTAGATGGATCATATTCCACTCTAGGTGGAATCTTTTTGGCGTAGATTGTGTTTTTTTAATCCAATACTCTGAGTCTCACTTGAGATGACCAATTATGTACGACCTGTGGGTGTGTTGTTTCCTGGACTTTATAAACTCCTGGAAACCCGAATGAAAATCACAGTGAATGAGCTTGTATACCTTGTACCTTCTCTGTTCCAGTTAAGCCCCTTGTGCAGTTCACTGTCACTGCAGGGTAGACTTAGGCTAAATGACCCTCCCTAAAACAGGCCTTGTCATAGTATTTAGTGTACATGTGACTATGTCTGTCTTAGGTCATAACACTGCCTGGCTCCAGCCCATTCTGACAGGTTGTTTGCTCTTTAACAAGCCTCCCCTTACTTACACGCGTGTCAGGATGTTTGCGGCTAAAAGGATAGCACTTTTGTGAATATGCACATAATTCTTTAGAAAACCAGGGCAAATAGGAATGAAAGGGCTACCCCATAATAATTGATAAAGGTTCCCCTTGTATTGCCGAATAAGGACTTGGGTATGCATACATGGTAAATAGTCAATGAACTGTTTCTTAAGATCAAATGGGGCCAGGTGTGGTGGCTCACACCTATAATACTAGCATTTTGGGAGGCTGAGGTGGGTGGATCCCTTGAGGCCAGTAGTTCAAGACCAGCCTGGCCAATATGGTGAAGCTCTATCTCTACTAAAAATGCAATAATTAGCCAGGCATGGTGGCACATGCCTGTAATCCCAGTTACTCGGGAGGCTGAGGCAGGAGACTCCCTTGAACCCAGGAGGCGGAGGTTGCAGTGAGCCGAGATCGTGTTTGTGCTCCACGAGCAGAGATCGTACTCCACCAGGCTGGAGCCTCAGCAACAGAGTGAGACTCTGTCTCCAAAGAAAAAAGAAAAAAAGATCAAACGGATTAAGGTTCCAAACTGATAGTGTGACATGCATTTACAAATGACAATAAACAATTCACAGATACTTCAGCTAAACTTCATTTACCTGCCCTGAACTAAGTCCACATGTCCTGAATTTAATAGGTTCCAAGATGCATAATAATCCTATAGGAAGTTACATGCACTGGACAACTTTGGGGACTAAATGGGATATCAGTGGTCAGAGACCCCTGACTTTAGACCAAGAGTAATTTAACGAAGAGTGATTATATAAAAATCACTTGCAGGCCGGGCGCAGTGGCTCACGCCTGTAATCCCAGCACTTTGGGAGGCCGAGGCAAGCAGATCATAAAGTCAAGAGATCCAGACCATCTTGACCAACACGGTGAAACTCCATCTCTAATAAAAATACCAATAGCCAGGTGTGATGGCGGGTGCCTGTAGTCCCAGCTACTCGGGAGGCTGAGGCAAGAGAATCGCTTGAACCTGGGAGGCAGAGGTTACAGTGAGCTGAGAGCGCACCACCACCCTCCAGCCTGGTGACAGAGCAAGACTCTGTCTCAAAAAAAAAAATCACTTGCCAAAAATGAATTTGTTTGTGGGTAATCTAGATGATGAGCCAATGTAAATTCCTGAGAGCTTATATCCATTCATAATAGTTATATGTTTCTAGAGTACCCCTTTCAGTTTATATAATTGACACCCCTACCTCTTCATCATACGCTCATTAACCTTGTGAGACTGGAATAACAGAGGTCATGATTGGCCGTAAGTTGTCAGTGAGCGAACGAAGAGTGACATTCCTTAGACTAAACTCACAACAAATCAAAACTTCCCCTGGGTTCTGTTGAGCCAGTACGTGTGGTAGTAAGACCTGTTAATCTTGGTTTTCTGATTCCAAATTGTAAGCCCTTTTTACTAGCTCCTTTTGCCTTTTTTGTTAATAAATATGTCACCCCTTCCTTAGCAGAATCACTTTGGTGACCCCCTTTTAGCTTCTGGCAACAAAATAGAATACTGCTCCTTTGGCTTGTTGTCATTTTAAAGATACCAGATAGGGCTGTGCTCTAATAATTCTCGTTTTTCAGGGCATCTCTCATTTCACACATACAGGCTCCTCACACATATAGCCACTCATAGGTAAGCCTGGGGAAATGGGATACTTGCTCACCATCTTCCCTGTCCATTACCCAAGCCCCTGCAATCAGGTATTTTTGACATGGAGAATGATCACTTTTAGAAATAATTCAAGTCTGCTAGAAAACCGGGGTAATTCTCCTCAAGCTGCAAAGTGCCTCTGTCTTCCTACTATAGATTAAGGTTTGCAGAGCCCACACTGCTATGCCTGAATTAAATTTTCAACAAGTGCTGTTGAAACTGCCTAAGGAAAAAAAATCTTGATTAGTTTCAGGCAGGAATTTTGAACCTAGGACCGAATTCAATCTAAAAATTGTTCTCCCACATTTTTGTGGCCTTTACTAACTTATTCACTTGCTGTTTTTACAATTCATTAATTAATGTATTAATCCTGGCTTCCTGATAGCTGTTTTTGAGCACCTGCAAAATGTATCTAGCCCTGCAGTGCGTGCTTATTTTCCTGTTAGGATTTTTGAACCAAGAGCTCATCCTTTTATTTCCTACAGATGCTGATTCCTATAATTGTGGGCATGATGTAATTTTTTTAAAAGTGCAAATTACCAATGACCCCAATACGATGAGCTCTCTGCAATTGTTTTCTGCTTGTCAAAGTCCCCATTAGTTACATCTTGTCATCTACCCCTAGAAATCAAGGCGATGGAAAAGTAAGCGTGAGGGATCGGACTCTGGCAATCGACAGATCAAGGCTGCTGGGAAAGTCATCATCCAGGATGTTGCCTGCCTCCTGCCTGTTCACAAATCACTGGGAGAACTGTACATGTAGGTACAAAATTTCAAGTATGCTGTTCCTATCACTTAGCCAGGATTAGCCAACTTTTGTTTGTTTGTTTGTTTTTGAGTGTGGGAATCCTTTCTTCAAAAGCAGTTTTAGGAGAAGCCTGATGTATTAGCTTTCTGTTGCTTTGTACAAATTCCCACAAACTTAGCAGCTTCCAACAACATTCATTTATTATCTGTCAGTTTTTGTGGGTCTCTAGTCTGGGCACAGCTTATCTGTGTCCTTGCCCAGGGTCTCAGCAAGCTGAAATCACGGTGTTGGCCAGGCAGTGATTTCATCCAATGCACAGGATCCTCTTCCAAGCTTGTTCAGGTTGTTAGCAGAATTCAGACCCTTGTAGCTGTAGAACTCGTCTGTAAATTTCATCTTGAGACCACTAGGAATGGCTCAAGATGAAATTATTAATGCTTCACGTTCCCTCTAAGGCCGAATTTGCCTGATGAGGTCAGCCCCACCCAGGACAGTTTCTCTGTAGGTGACTTCAAAGTCAATTGCTTAATAACATAATCACAGAAGTGATATCCCATCAAAATTCACTGGTGTCACCCACATTCAAAGGGGGTGGAGTATTGTATAAGGCATGCTACTTTACAACACGGAGCTCCTGTGTTTTAGCAGAGCTGTTACACAAAGCAGAGCTACTTTTGTTTGGAATGAAGTGAGAGGTGAGTAATCAGCATGCAGAGGCCGCCTGCCGTTCCCCTGCCTCTTCCTAAAGTTGAACTTAAAACAGAAAGTGTTTCCTCTGTCGTGTATACATAGTACACCACTCTTTCTGTTAGGGACCATAGTCAATGCTGCATGTCTTTCAGTTCATTTTTATTCAACCCTCAAGGCTTGGAACTCCACAGAAAAGCTGGTTGGTAAATTTGTATTTGAGTATGGCCTCCTCCTGACTTTAAAGAGGTGAGCAATTTCACCTTCCCTGGGCTGGAACGCCGGGAAGCTGCTTTAGCATTAGCTCTAGTTAAGCTTTTCCTCCAAGTCAGATAGGAAGGGGTTTCAAGGCCAACACAGAATAAAACATTTTGAGTGGCAACCAAAGAGGTTGTTTCTCATCCATTGGTTAAACTGGGAGTCGTTGTTTAGGAAGTTACACTAGAAAGAAACCTTTCAATTCTTTTATAAAAATTTCAGATTGAATGTGAATGATATTCAGGAAACATGTCAGAAGAACGCTGCTTCTGCCTTGCTTGTTGGAAGAAAGGATCTGGTCCAGGTACTGTACGTCCCTTTTGGTGGAGATTCGGAATTTTCCTCAGGAGCAGATTGTTTTTACTTGGTCGTTGGCGTTAAATGACATTTTCAAAGTGTGTCTTGTTTTGGAATTCCTTTTCCATTTGCTTTGCCACTCTGTAGGGTTAGAGTGGCTTTCCAAATGCTGGAAGTTTTTCTTTGTTGTACTTAGTTGGGAAGGTCCTAAAGCATCCATTAATATTTTTAAAAAATTATACATCTCTTTTCTATTCCAGTGTCATGGTGAGTGCTATGTAGCTAACCTTGGTGTCTATTTCTTTGCCATTCAAACCCTCAATTCTTTTTTTTTCTTTTGAAAATGCTCTAGTTTACACAATATTTACCAAAGTGTTCCTTTAGATAGAGATGTTCAGTTTTAAAATAGTATCTAACATTTCAAATATTTAAATTTTCCTTATCTTTGCAGCAACATATCAGTGTATTATAACAAACTATCCCTGTATTTTTTTAAACGGCTTAACTGAGATGTAGCCCACCTATCATGCAATTTACCCATTTAAAGTATACCATTCAGTGGTTTCATTTTGTTTTGTTTTTTTGTGGCAGAGTCTCATTCTGTTGTGTAGGCTGGAGTTCAGTGGCATGATCTCGGCTCACTGCAACCTCCGCCTCCTAGGTTCAAGCCATTCTCCTTGCCTCAGCCTCCCCAGTAGCTGGGATTATAGGTGCATGCCACCATGGCTGGCTAACTTTTGTATTTTTTAGTAGAGATGTGGTTTCACCGTGTTGGCCAGGGTGGTCTTGAACTCCTGACCTCAAGTGATCTGCCCACCTTGGCCTCCCAAAGTGCTGGGATAACAGGTGTGAGCCACAGCACCTCGCCACCATTCAGTGATTTTTAGTGGATTCAGAATTGCGCAACCACCACCACAAACACACTTTTAGAACATTTTTCTGCTCCCCAAAATAAACCCTGAAACCCTTAATTGTCACTTCATACTCTCTTCTTCCTCCCAACCCTAGGCAACCATGAACCTACTTTCTGTCTCTATTGCACAGTTTTTTTTTATGTTGTTGTTTGTTTGTCTGTAGCCCAGGCTGGAGTGCAGTGGCACAATCTCAGCTTACTGCAACCTCCACCTTTTGGGCTCAAGCCATCCTGGTACCTCAGCCTGCCATGTACCTGGAACTACTGGCAAGTGCCACCATGCCTGGCTAATTTTTGCATTTTTTGTAGATATAAGGTTTCACCATATGGCCAGGCAGGTCTTGAATGCCTGACCTCAAGTGATCGGCCCACCTCGGCCTCAAAGTGCTGGGATTATGGGCGTGAGCCACTGCGCCTGGCTTTATTTCACTCTTATGCTTTGGTATGAGGATTAGGGTGAGCAGTGGAAACTGTTAATACTAGCTGTTTTTCTGTGGGCTGTTTGTCCCCGATAACACTCCAAAGGAATCAAAGACAAGGTCTTTCCTTGATGTTTTATCTGATTTAAAAATCACTAAGATTTCCATTGTCTTCCCTTTTTTTTTTTTTTTTTTTTTTTTTTGAGACAGAGTGTTGCTCTTGTTACCCAGGCTGGAGTGCAATGGCGCGATCTCGGCTCACCGCAACCTCCGCCTCCTGGGTTCAAGCAATTCTCCTGCCTCAGCCTCCTGAGTGGCTGGGATTACAGGCACGCGCCACCATGCCCAGCTAATTTTTTCTATTTTTAGTAGAGACGGGGTTTCACCACGTTGACCAGGATGGTCTCGATCTCTCGACCTCGTGATCCACCCGCCTCGGCCTCCCAAAGTGCTGGGATTACAGGCTTGAGCCACTGCACCCGGCTCCATTGTCTTCTCTTAAACACTCTCAGGTCTCTGCCTGAAACCCTTGTAGGAGAAATTCGGTGATGGATTTAATCTGGTTCTCTAAGGACCCAGCTACCTAGGTCCTGTGAACGCTGAGAAGGCAACAGGAGGTGGCAGAAATAGTGCAGCATTGGTAGCAGAGGCCTGGGCTCGACTCGGTTTCCTAGCAAAATGACCTGGGCAAGTTACTCCAGTGTCTCTCACTCTCTGCGTATGTTTGTCAGTGGAGAACCTTAAGAACTGAGAACTTTATAAGGTTGATGAGAAGACTGGTAAATGCAATACTAAGGCAGGACCGTAGCTTGTATTCTGAAAAAATATTCTCGGCCAGGTGTGATGGCTCAAGCCTATAGTCCCAGCACTTTGGGTGGCTGAGGTAGAAAAATCACTTGACCTCAGGAGTTTGAGACCAGCCTGGGCAACATGGCGAGAACCCATCTCTACGCAAAATTTTTAAAGATTAGCCAGGCATGATGGTGCACGCCTGTAGTCCCACTGCTTGGGAGGCTGTGGTGGAAGGATTGCTTGAGGCCAGGAGGTCCAGGCTAAAGTGAGGCCCTGTCTGAGAAAAAAAAATTCTCTAGGAAAATTTACTTCCTAAGGTGTTTTTTTTTTGAGACAGAGTCTCACTGTGTCTGTCCAGGCTAGAGTTCCGTGGCGCTGTCTCAGCTCACTGCAACTTCCACCTCTTGGGTTCATGCGATTCTCATGCCTCCGCCTCCTGAGTAGACGGGATTATAGGCACATGCCACCACACCTGGCTAATTTTTATATTTTTAGTAGACTGGGTTTCATTATGTTGGCCAAGCTGGTCTTGAACTCCTGACCTCAAGTGATCTGCCTGTTTAGCCTCCCAAAATGCTGTAATTACAAGCATAAGCCATCATGCCCAGCTCTAAGGTTTTCTTAATGTTAAGTTTTGAGTACTTTCTGGCAGAATAGATTGGGAAGGGCAGACCTGCCCTTGTGAAGTGGGGAAGACTCTTGTGTTCAAACAGACCCAGCTGAAATCAATCTGGACCCTGGCACTTTTTTGTCGTGTCTTGGCAGGCAAGCCGCCAAATCCTTCTGCACTTCAAGTTCCTCTGCTATAAAATGGAAACGATACTTCTGAAGTCATTATGAGAACTAAATAAGATAATGCATGAAAAGTTGCATAAATATGTCTGGTGGATAAGATACCCATCTACATGGTGCAGTTATTGCTGCTGTTCTTGTAATTATCATTTGTGACATGGTGCAATTGAATGGGACAGAGAAATGACATCGGTGAACATGCTTAAAGAATTTTTTTATTTTATTTTATTTTTTAAAAATATATAGAGATGTGGTCTTTCATTGTGTTGCCCAAGCTGGTCTCGAACTCCTGGCCTCAAGTGATCCTCCTGTCTTGGCCTCCCAAAGTGTTGGGATTATAGATGTGAGCCACCACACCCAGCCTTTTTGTTCTTTTTGCTCATGTTGAGGATATGCTTACTATTTTGCAAAGAGTTGCAGAAGTAAATGCAAGAGTCACTATTTCTGTTAAGGCATTCAGGAAATGTGGATTCTGAGTGAGGAAATAACATGCCTCAGTTGTCAGCCAGGGTAGTAAACATCTTATCTTATCCCAGAAAGTCATTAACTTCCTCTGGTACTGATTTACTGGGTCATTGATTACCAAAATGAATGTGTACTTCAAGTTTCTCCTTTTGACAATACTTTCTATGTATTTCTCAAGTATGTTGGTGCCACATGATTTAATTGATTTTCTTTTTTTTTCTTTTTTTTTTTGGAGACGGAGTCTCACTCTGTCATCCAGGCATGTGGCTCACTGCAATGTCTGCCTCCCGGGTTCAAGGTATTCTCTTGACTTAGCCTCCCGAGTAGCTGGGACGACAGGCACGCACCACCACGCCTGGCTAATTTTTGTATTTTTAGTAGAGACGGGATTTCACCATGTGGCCAGGATGGTCTCGATCTCCTGACCTCATGATCCGCCCACCTTGGCCTCCCAAAGTGCCAGGATTACAGGTGTGAGCTACCATGCCCAGCCTTTAATTGATTTTCATGCCTAAGGCTTCTCTACCTGTTTCTCAGTATCTTTGTTTGCTTATTATTTCTCCTTAGATTGTAAATTCCTTGATTCAAAGTCCATATCTTCTTCGTTTTGAGCGTTTCAGAGTCTAGTAGAGTGTTTTCCAGTCAATGGGCATACAGTGATGTGCTGCTACTAAGAAAGGTTTTCCAGAAGTAGGATTTGATTTTTAAAGGTATCGAGGGGATGGGGGGCTGTTTATGACGATGATGTGTTTAGCGTGTGCCTTGGATTTAATAGACACTTAATGGCTATTGGTTTCTGCTCAGTGGCTCTCAGCCCCATGGGATTTCAAGTTGGGAGGTATTCCTCAGATTTGATGTCAACAAAAAGAAATTCAAATCCATTTTGCTTGGCCTATTATTATTATTCTTACTTGTTAGTTTCAGAGAGGATACTGAAACTTTTATAATGAAGGCAACAAAGTTTTTCATTATTTAGATGAAGAAGGACAGATCTTAAATGTGTTGTACACTGCCTTTTTTTTCTTCCCTGCCAGCCCAACTTACTGATGAAGCAGCTTTTTTTTTTTTTTTTTTTTTTTTTTGAGATAGAGTCTGGCTCTATTGCCCAGGCTGGAGTGCAGTGGTATGATCTTGGCTCATTGCAACCTCAGCCTCCCAGGTTCAAGCAATTGTCCTGTCTCTCTGCCTCCGGAGTAGCTGGAATTACAGGTATGCACCACCATGCCTGGCTAATTTTTGTATTTTTAGTAGCAACGAGGTTTCGTCGTATTGGCCAGAGTGGTCTCGAACTCCTGACCTCAAGTGATCCACCCGCCTCAGCATCCCATAGTGCTAGGATTATAGGCGTGAGCCACCATACCTGGCCTGAAGCAGCATTTCAAAAAGTCATTCGATGCTGGATGTGGTGGCTCACACCTGTAATCCAAGCATTTTGTGGGACTGAGGTGGATATATCACTTGAGGCCAGGAGTTTGAGACCAGCCTGGCCAACATGGTGAAACCCCGTTGCTACTAAAAATATAAAAATTAGTCAGGTGCAGTAGCTCACGCATGTAATCCTACCTACTTAGGAGGCTGAGGCAGGAGGATCACTTGAACCCAGGAGGCAGAGACTGCAGTGAGCTGTGATTATGCCACAGCACTCCAGCCTGGGTGACAGAGTGAGACTCTTGTCTCAAAAAAGTAAAATAAAAAGGCATATGAGTTAGTGGCTAAGTAGATGACCTGTTGAAATTATTACACTGTCATTTCTCTGAAGTTTGCTTAATAAAACCTTTTTAAGGCTAGTGTTTCTTCCAACCTTAGAGTGCACATAAGTCCCCTAAGGAGTTGGTTAAAATGTAAACACGGATTCAGTAGTTCTAAATGGGCCCTAAACTTCTGCATTTCAATAAGCTTCCAGCGTTTGCTGCCCTCAGAGTAGCAAGGCATCAGGTTTTATTTGGAGGACAGGTGGAGTTGCTTCATGTTTCTGTTCCTGTCCTTCCCAGTTTGAGTTTGTATTTCTCTTTGATCTTTCCAGGTTTGGTCGCTGGCTACAGTAGCTACAGATCTTTGCCTTGGTCCGAAATCTGACCCAGATTTGGAAACACCCTGGGCTCGACATCCATTCGGGCGGCAGCTGCTGGAGTCCCTGTAGGTTTTGAGAGCTAAAAGTGAGAAAAATGAGTGAAGTCCATTTTCAGTCTGTAAACACTTCAAATGTCATCACCTAAGAGAAGGGTGCAAAGGCCCGAGGAATGAGAGAAAGGAATGGGATCTTTCCTTTAAGTGCTGAAATGGTTTCTGTGCAGAACAAACTTCTTAGAGCACACAGAACTATACAATACTTGTCATCTATAACAAGGATTTGAGACCCCTAAGATGCATGTATCCTTTAGAGATTCATGCTTTAGTTCATAAATCACATCAGTCCGAACACAGGAGTTCGAGCTCATGAGATGGTAAGTTTCTTCTTGAGAGTTACAGGGTCTCACCCTTGATAATGGATTGGAGAACGGTGTGTTGGTGTTCATGTTTGCCAAAGACCATGCATGATGCTTTCACCCTTTTAGGCAATTCGAGAAAACATTGATTTTGTGTTTAGTTCATTGCACTGACACATGGAAAACTGGGATATACTGTACAAAATAATTTAACACCAAGTAAAACCACTTGAATCTCCATAACTTGGAGGCCCAGGGCCTGGGTAGAGAACCGCTCCTGCCTTCAGGTTGAGGTTTGTTTTATTTATGACTCAAGGCCACCCTGGGACACGTGTTCATGCTTCTGCTTCCTTATCGTTAACACAGGGATGATCAGGTTTGCTCACCCTACTTGGTGTAAAACTCAAATACGATAGTGAGTGTGAAAACACAAATACTAGACATTTAGTGATAGGAAGACCGTACTGTTACTCATTCTCAAAGGCAAAGCCCCTTTGATTCCTTTCTCACATTCTAGCATAGGAGTAGAAAAGAAACACTCCCTGTTGTTCTTACCTTTTTTTTTTTTTTTTTTTTTTTTTTTTTTTTTTTGGAGACCGAGTTTTGCTCTTGTTGCCCAGACTGGATTTTAGTGGCACAATATTGGCTCACTGCAGCCTCTGCTTTCTGGGTTCAAGTGATTCTCCTGCCTCAGCCTCCCGAGTAGCTGGGATCACAGACATGTGCCGCCACGCCTGGGTAATTTTGTATTTTTGGTAGAGAGGTGGTTTCTCCATGTTGGTCAGGCAGGTCTTGAACTCTTGACCTCAGGTGATCCACCTGCCTCAGCCTCCCAAAGTGCTGGGATTACAGGCGTGAGCCACTGCACCCGGCCAGTTGTTCTTACTTCATAGGTCATCTTCATAACTGCACCTCAGAGTCTATTGCCTGCTAGCATACTGTGGTGGTCGAGTGTCCTCTGAACTCCTTCATACAGCTTTAAGTTATATAAATGATGTGTATGGGAATCTTCCAAAAGCAGTATGATTCTTCCTTGGAGCTGGGGAGACAGAGGGAGCATCTCTTGCCTTGCTCAGATGTCAGGTTAGTCTACTTAGTTCTTGGAGAAGCCGCGTTCATATTTAAGCCCATGCCTGAATGTCAGCCGGAGGTTTTCAGATGTGTCCTTTAGATCATTTGTCTTACGTTGGTGCCTTATATTCCAAAGCAAGTCTAGGCAAACTCAAAAGTAGGTCAAACTGCTGGATCTGTAGAAAGCCCCATTTCCTGATGGGGGTTTTTGAGGCAGATTCAAGAATCCTCCTGTCCCACCCCTGTGGCAGTAACCCACCATGACTGTGATCGTTTTTCCTTCCTCAGCTCCTCCTCTTCACCTTGTTTTCTTTCCTCTCACCTTTTCCTCAGGTTGGCTCATTATTGCCAGCTCCGAGATGTTCAGACGCTGGCGATGCTCTGTAGCGTGTTCGAAGCCCAGTCTCGGCCTCAGGGGATACCAAACCCCTTTGGGCCTTTTCCCAACCGTTCTTCTAATCTTGTGGTATCCCATAGTCGATATGTAAGTGTTGTTTTCTGGTTTTGTCTGATGTTTTCTTTTCTTTTCTTTTTTTGAGACGGAATTTCACTCTGTTGCCCAGGCTGGAGTGCAATGGTGCAACCTCAGCTCACTGCAGCCTCTGCCTCCTGGGTTCAAGCAATTCTTGTGTCACAGCCTCCTGTGTAGCTGGGATTACAGGCGCCCACCACCACTCCTAGTCTATTTTTGTATTTTTTGTAGAGATGGGGTTTCACCATGTTGGCCAGGCTGGTCTTGAACCCCTGACCTCAGGTGTTCCCCCCCGCCTTGGCCTCCCAAAGTGCTAGGATTATAGGCATGAGCCGCCACACCCAGCCTGATGTTTTCTTAATGTGAACTGTCATGGGGAACAGTGTTCTCATGCTAGTCCTGTTGGTTCTTCTCTTCCCATCTGCAGCCTAGCTTTACCTCTTCTGGTTCCTGCTCCAGTATGTCAGACCCAGGGTTCAACACGGGCAGCTGGAACATAGGTGTGTATGGAAACATCTTAGCCCATGCTGGATTTTTTTAGTTCTCTGATAGCTGTGTGTATGTAACCTTTAGTTGATGCTTATTCTTATTTTTTCTTGTTTCTCATTTCTCTTTACATTTACTGTGATAGGGATACTCTTGCTGGAGGCCTGGCTTTGCATGTGGAACAGGCCACTTGCTGCAGGTCTTTGTGCCTTGCCATGTTGCTTGTTATCTCGTAACCTTGAGAAACTGACAATGGGACTAACCACTGTTCACCCCAAAACCTGACCCTTAACCTTCTCCTTCTCCTGCCCTTTCCATGATCCTCTGCCACCTACCGCTTCCCATGACCGCTTTCAGTATAGACAAATGCAGCTGGGCCTGAGTCCAGCTGATCATAAAGCTGTTTGCCGAGTAGGTGTATTTGTGTTTCCTGGATTGAGGAAAAAAAGCCAAAAAAACATTTTTTAGAATGATCTTAATTTTCCTGATTTCAAAAGTAGCACATGCCCAGCGAAGAAAAGCAAACAAAAAGTTATAGAGAAGAAAATAGTAACTGTTGCTCTCCCACCTAGGAATATCATCCATTAATATTCTAGAACATTTTCATCCATTCTTTGTGTGCAGAAGTGTGGTTTTTCCATGTATGTGATTTTGTGTTCTATTTTTAATTGTATCACGAGCATATATTGTTCAAAAAGCCTTTGTAAATAATGACTACATAACATTCTACTGTATCTCTGTGCCACCATTTGCTTTATTTATTTTGTTTTTTATTTTTTGAGATGGAGGTTTGCTCTTGTTGCCCAGGCTGCAGTGCAATGGCATGATCTCAGCTCACTGCAACCTCTGCCTCTTGGGTTCAAGTGATTCTCCTGCCTCAGCCTCCCCAGTAGCTGGGATTACAGATGCCCACCATGACGCCCAACTAATTTTTGTTATTTTTAGTAGAGATGGGATTTTGACATGTTGGCCAGGCTGGTCTCGAACTCCTGAACTCAGGTGGTCCACCCGCCTTGGCCTCCCAAACTGTTGAGATTACAGGTGTGAGCCACTGCACCTGGCCTGCTTTATATATTTTTTATTTTTTGGTTTTTTGAGATGGAGTCTCGCTCTGTTGCCCACGCTGGAGTGCAGTGGTGTGATCTTGGCTCACTATACCCTCTGCCTCCCAGGTTCAAGCAATCCTCCTACCTCAGCCTCCTGAGTAGCTGGGATTACAGACGTGTGCCAGTATGCCTGGCTAATTTTTGTTTTTCTTTTTTTTTTAAAGTAGAGACGTAGTTTCACCTGACCTGAGGTGATCTGTCCACCTCAGCCTCCCAAAGTGCTGGATTCCAGATGTGAGCCACTGTGCCCAGCTCATCATTTGCCTTAGCATCTGTGTGTACTTAGTTATCACGTTCTCTTAGTAATAAATACCTGGGCAAAAAGGTAAGGGTAGAAAAGAGTTCTGTTATATTTCTCAGAATATTCAGCCTTGCTTACTTTTCTTCTGGGAAATCCACTGGCTACATGCCGTCTTATGAGACTCTTCAGATACTTTCCATGCCTTCTCTGATTGCCATCTTCCCTTCGCATTCAATTTTCTTCAGCGGGAAGAGAGGCAGAGCACTTGTCTTCCCCTTGGGGAGAATCCTCACCAGAAGAGCTCCGCTTTGGGAGTCTGACCTACAGTGATCCCCGTGAGCGAGAACGTGATCAGCATGATAAAAATAAAAGGTAACCACCTTCCCAGATGAGAGCTGCAATGCCAGGACTTCAGTTTCTTCAGAATCACAACTCTTGCTTTTTTTTTTGAGACAGAATCTTACTCTTGAGCCAGGTTGGAGTGCAGTGGCGCGATCTTGGCCCACTGCAACCTCCGCCTCCCAGGCTCAAGTGATTCTTCTGCCTAAGCCTCCTGAGTAGCTGGTATTATAGGCACGTACCACCATGACCAGCTAATTTTTTTGTATTTTTAGTAGATACTGGGTTTCACCATGTTGCCCAGGCTGGTCTCAAACTTCTGACCTCAAGTGATCCACCCAGCTGGGCCTCCCAAACTGCTGGGAGTGACAGGTATGAGCCACTGAGTGTGGCCGGGGCTCCTGCTTTAAGAAGGGTATATTAAGTGCCATTTAGTATCAAGGCTGTTTTTCTTTCTTTCTTTTTTTTTGAGAAAGAGTTTTGCTCTTTTTTTTTTTTTTTTGAGACGGAGTTTCGCTCTTGTTACCCAGGCTGGAGTGCAATGGCGCGATCTCGGCTCACTGCAACCTCCGCCTCCTGGGTTCAGGCAATTCTCCTGCCTCAGCCTCCTAAGTAGCTTGGATTACAGGCACGTGCCACCATGCCCAGCTAATTTTTTGCACTTTTAGTAGAGATGGGGTTTCACCATGTTGACCAGGATGGTCTCGATCTCTCGACCTCGTGATCCACCCGCCTCAGCCTCCCAAAGTGCTGGGATTACAGGCTTGAGCCACCGCGCCCAGCAAGAGTTTTGCTCTTATTGCCCAGGCTGGAGTGCAATGATGTGAGCTCAGCTCATCGCAACCTCCACCTCCTGGGTTCAAGCCATTCTCCTGCCTCAGCCTCCTGTGTAGCTAGGATTACAGGCGTGTGCTACCACACCCAGCTAATTTTGTATTTTTAATAGAGATGGGTTTCTCCATGGTGTTCAGGCTGGTCTTGAACTCCCGAACTCAGGTGATCTGCCTGCCTTGGCCTTCCAAAGTGCTGGGATTACAGGTATGAGCCACTGCACTTGGCCCTGTTTTTCCTTAAGGTAACTGACAGGAAATCTATTTAACTTTATCCAGGCTCCTGGACCCTGCCAATGCCCAGCAGTTTGATGACTTTAAAAAATGCTATGGGGAAATCTTGTACCGTTGGGGTCTAAGAGAGAAGCGAGCTGAAGTGCTGAAGTTTGTCTCCTGTCCTCCGGACCCTCACAAAGGGATTGGTGAGTGTGAATTTCTCTCTCTTCCTGTCACTGTCTGAAAGATCCTGTCATTTAATTTGTCCACAGCATCAGACTTGGAATGAAGTTTCAGCTTCTCATTTCTAAGCAGAAATTTCTGAGGCATTTTGAATCTATTCCAAGCTTTCATTTCATCACAGGATGAAATTCTCTACTACAGTAGAAGTAGTTTATAATACAGGACTCCAACATGGATCAGAGGGATGGCTTGTTCTTCATTTATTCCTTGATGTGTCCAGCTCCTCTTAGGCACAGTGCCCACACATTCCTTGCCCCCGCCATCCTGCCCCCCCGCAACAGAGCTTACAGCTGAGTTGGGGGGAGGAGGGAATGAAATAATTTCAAATTGTGAAATAAGCAAACAAAAATGATGTGGGGCAGGGAGAACAGGGAGGGAGAATCTTAGAAGAGAAATAGAGGTGTGTTGGGAAGGCCTCCAAGGAGCTGAGGTCTGAAGGTTTAAAGGAACCATGGAGCCATCGGTGCAGTGGTGAAAAGAGCGTTCTATGACGAGGGGGCAGGCCCTGGAGAAATGACTGTCATCATGAACAAGTGAGAAGGCAGCACGGTGTGGCCGGAGTACAGTGGGGCATCAGATTAGAGTGTAGAGTACTTAGGGTTGTGTCAGGCAGGGACTCGTAAGTTGTGGTAAAGAATTTGCATTCGGCTGGGCGTGGTGACTCATGCCTATAATCCCAGCACTTTGGGAGACCGAGGCAGGCAGATCACTTGAGGCCAGGGGTTTGAGACCAGCCTGGCCAACATGGTGAAATCCTGTCTCTACTAAAAATACAAAAATTAGCCAGGTACGATGGTGCATGCCTGTAATCCAAGCTTCTTGGGAGGCTGAGGCAGGAGAATTGCTTGGGAGGTGGAGGTTCCACTGAACCGAGATCGCACCATTGCATTCCAGCCTGGGTGACAAAATGAGACTCTGTCTCAAAAAAAAAAAAAAAAGAAAGAAAGAAAGAAAAAGTATTCCAATTGTATCCTAAGTCCAATGGTAAGCTTACAAGGGCATAAGAAATAAGCAACGTGCTTTGGGTTGCTTTTTAAGAGGGTCACTTTGGCCTTCCTACGAGGAAAGGATGGGAGGAGGGCAGGGCAGGAGCAGGAAGCCCATTCAGAGACGTTGCAGCTGTCAGAGGCAGACAGCCTGGTCTGAGGGTGGCGTCGCTGCAGTTGGGGAGAGATGATGGATGGGTTATAATGTATTTTAGAGCTAGACTCAGTATAACTTGCTTATAACTTGGATGTGGGTTCAGGAAGAGAAATGAAACTTGGACGATTCCTAGATTTCCAGCATGAGCAACGGGGTCAGTGGCAGTGCCAGCTTCCCAGATGGAAAAAAGACTGGAAGAACACTGTGGGCTGGGCTTATTTTGGGGTCATCAGTGATGTGTGTGAGATAGCGGACTAGAGAAGTCACCTAGGCAGTTGGATGTGATTTGGGTTCTCAGAGGGGAGACTGGGGCTAGAACCGAGAATTTGGGGATCCCCAGAATGTGGATGGCAGTCCAGCTGTGGGAAGGGGTGTGTTGACCTTGGAGCTGGGGCTGGGAAGGAAGAGCACAGGGAGAGGCCACCCGCCCTGGGTCTTGGGAGAAAGCAACGCTTAGGGCTTGAGTCCTAGAGGAAGAACCAGACAGAGAGAGTTAGAATGAGACCTCAGTGAGTGTTGAGGAAAAGCAAGACTCATGTGACAGAATCTGAGCCTAGAGAGGTGTTTTACAGGATGAAATAGAAGGCTGCCAAAGGTAGCCAACTAAACATACATTGATTTCCTCTTCTCCAGGACCCCACCAAAACGTCTGTACAGAGCTCTTCTGAAAAACCTAACTGTACAAGCAGTAATGCTGGCAATAAAATTTGGGATCTGGGGAGCAGAGAGCTTAGTGGCAGCTGATTTTGCAGGGCCGGATAAAGCTGAACCCTGAACTGTGGTCAGAAGCACAGAACACACTGCAGAACCCTCACATGGCTCAGGGACGCTGGACGCGGCTTGGCAGTGAGGTTAAAAGCAGGGGTGTTGTTTAATTGTCCTTGTAGGATCCCCAGATTCCTACTCCGAGTTTGCAGAGCAGCTTGTTGTTCTTCCTGTACCCTAGGAGTTTATTCTCTAGAGACGGTAAACACGTTTCCAGTTGGAAAGGGCCCACCAAGCACCTGACGTAGTGAATGAGAAAACATTTACAGAGAAGACCTAGAAGCTTCCAGAGCGAAAACACAGGTCACATTCAAAGGATGAGGAATATGATTGTACTGGAAATCAAATGACAAGGCGGCAGTGCCTTCAGCATTCTCAAGAAGATGGTTTCAAATTAGCCAAGTGTGGTGGCGGGCACCTGTAATCCCAGCTACTTGGGAGGCTGAGATGCAAGAATCACCTGAACCCAGAGGCAGAGGTTGTAGTGAGCCGAGATCGCGCCATTGCACTCCGGCCTGGGCGACAGAGAGAGACTGTGTCTCGAAAAAAAAAAAAAAAAAAAGATGGTTTTTAACTGAGAATTCTGTATTTGAAATTATGAATTAAGTGTGAAAGTAAACCTTCAGCCTATCTTAGAAAGAGGACCTGTTTCCATCCAGGAAATGAGGGAGTCGAATTGCTGGTGAAGGGAGCTGTCTATGACAGACTGAGAGAGACTAGTCCAGACTGCGGCTTCAGGAGCGTTGGCTCCAAGAGGCGAAAAATGAGAAAATATCCTGGTGGATTCAGTGTTCCATGTATTTGTAGAAAATTCAGATATTTGAGGGAGAGTTTGGCGATGAATTATTACTTTTTTGTTTCTTTTTTTTTTTTTTTGAGACAGAGTCTTGCTCTATCACCAGGCTGGAGTGCAGTGGTGTAATCTCAGCTCACTACAACCCCTGCCTCCTGGTTCAAGCAATTCCCTGTAGCTGGGACTACAGACGTGTGCCACCACACCCAGGTGATTTTTGTATTTTAGTAAAGACGGGGTTTCACCATGTTGGCCAGGATGGTCTCGATCTCCCGACCATGTGATCTGCCTGCCTCAGCCTCCCAAAGTGCTGGGATTACAGGCGTGAGCCACTGTGCCTAGCCTATTTTTTTATTTCTTAAATTTATTTTTCGTTTTTATTTTTTTGAGACAGGGTCTGGCTCTGTCACCCAGGTGGGAGTGGAGTGGCACGTTGTCGGCTCACTGTAAACTCCACCTCCCTGAGCTCAGGTGATACTCCTGCCTCAGCCTCCCAAGTAGTTGGGACCACAGGTGTGTGCCACTGTGCCCAGCTAGTTTTTGTACTTTTTGTAGAGACAGTTTTTGTATTTTTTGTATTTTGTTTTGCCATGTTGTCCAGGCTGATCTCAAACTCCTGGCCTCAAGTGATCTTCCTGCCTTGGCTTCCCAGAGTGCTGGGATTATAGATGTGAGACATCATGCCTGGTAGTTTCAAGAAACATACTAGAGTAATATGTAGGTTTAGGTAGTGAATATCAAGGATTATTTTAATATGGATTATGTTGGTATATGTACCTGAAGAAATATAAAGGCCCAAAATGCTATTTGGGCAATATATTTTTTCATTATCAGAGCATCTAAATGCATGAAAGTATCTCAGGAAAAGATTAATGATGGTCTGGAGAATTTGTCTTTTAAAAATTAGTTTTCAGGAAAACGTATGAATCACGGAGATATCGAGCTGATGTATCAACCCATCAATCAGCTAAACCCTTATTGACATCTGCTATTAGAAAGTGTCATGGTGGATTCTGTGGGATGTACAAAGAAATATAAAGTGTGGTGGGGGGGCGGTCAAGATATCTGTAATATAGTCAGAGTCTGAAACATAAAACTTGGGAAGACTTAATGATAGTCAAGGATAAATAATGTATCCCAATTCCAATAAAACCAATGTCACAAGATTTATAAAGCAAGCAGGATTGTGAAAGATGGACTCACAGACAAAAACAGTAAAAGAAGTATATCCTTTCCTTTTGAGACCGAGCTTTGCTCTTGTTGCCCAGGCTGGAGTGCAATGGCGTTGTCTTGGCACCTCTGCCTCCTGGATTCAAGCGGTTCTCCTGCCTCAGCCTCCCAAGTAGCCGGGATTACAGGCATGCACCACCACACCTGGCTAATTTTGTATTTTTAGTAGAGATGGGCTTTTTCCATGTTGGTCAAGCTGGTCTTGAACTTTTGACCTCAGGTGATCTGCCCTCCTCGACCTCCCAAAGTGCTGGGATTACAGGTGTGAACCACCACGCCTGGGACCTCCTTTTTTTTTTTTTTTTTTTTTTTTTGAGATGGAGTCTTGCTCTGTCACCCAAGCTGGAGTACAATGGCACAGTCTCAGGTCACTGCAGCCTCTGCCTTCCAGGTTCAAGTGATTCTCCTGCCTCAGCCTCCTGAGTAGCTGGGATTACAGGCATGAGCCACCACACCTGCCTAATTTTTGTATTTTTAGTAGAGATGGGGTTTCACCATGTTGACCTGGCTGGTCTTGAACTCCTGACCTCGTGATCCACCCACCTGGACCTCCCAAAGTGCTGGGATTACAAGTGTGACTCCCTGCGCCCTGCCAAGAAGTTATTTTCTTTGGCAAAATTTTACAAAGTAGTCTTGACTTTGGAGGAACCGGGCTGCTTCAATACAGGACATAGCAGGTATTGAAGGAAAAGTTCAGGCTGGGTGTGGCTGCACACACCTGTAATCCCAACACTTTGGGAGACTGAGGCAGGCAGATTGCTGGAGTCTAGGAATTTGAGACAAGCCTGGGCAACATGGTGAAACTATGTCTCTTAAAAATTTTTAAAAAGAAAAATACCCCAAGGCTGCCAAGGGTACATGTCTTCTCTTTGCGGTGGAAAGGCAGCAGTTTCCTCTGTGCCAATCCTGTCTGCAAGGGTCATCCCATATCCAGACTTCAGCGCAGCATATTTGAGGGATAATGTTAGTTTCATTGGGATTAAATATTTACAGACAGGGCTCATGGTTTCATTCATTTTGTGGGGATTCTGC